GGATCCTTAAGTTATGCTCTAAATAATGTACAATTTTTACGTATATTTGTAGAAAGAATCAAGGATGGCAGTAATGGAGATATCGCTGTTGATCAATATCACCAATACAAGGTTCTAAAACATAGAATTTCATTCTCTGGACCTTCTTTACTTGAAGTTGCAGGGCACAACATACTAAATTTTGGATTCTAGCCAAACACATGACATTTGAAGACGAGATATCCTAAATTTTTGGCTTAGTTCTTATAATTATTATTTTTTATATATAGGGTGATGTGGCGATAATGAAAAATATATCGGTGGATGCTTATAGATTGTCTATATCATGGTCAAGAGTGTTGCCAAGTAAGTTGATTTACATAACAATTCTTTTTTCTTTTTTTCTTACAACTGACTTATAACCAGCATTTTGAGTTGTGATAATAACTCTCGGTTGTCTTTCGTATAATAACCAGCATTTTCTTCCCAACTAAAAGAACTGTATCAAATTAAATGAGTCAAATTTTAAGGCCAAGAATATATAACTTAAATTTTAATTTATGTTTGTAGATCAATTTATTTTCCTATTTGTTGTATTTTATTTTAATTATTAGATGGAACGCTAAGTGGGGGCGTGAATATGGATGGGATCAACTATTACAACAGTTTCATCAATGAACTCATAAGTAGCGGTGAGTAGTCATCTCATTTTACATGATCGATACTTAAAACTCTTATCATTTAATCAAAGATTTAATTTTCTTCTACTCATCATATATATATATATATATACACACACACACATACATATATACAGGTCTAAAACCATTTGTGACAATCTTCCATTGGGATCTTCCCCAAGCTTTAAATGACGAATATGGTGGTTTCTTAAGCCCTAAAATTGTGTAAGTGAACAAATTCTATCCTCAGTACATGGTAATGATCATTTAATAAAATACATATTACAGTAACATCTACATCTTGAATTGTGCATACTATATACAGTGATCATTTTAGAGCATTTGCAAAACTTTGTTTTGAGAACTTTGGCGATCGAGTAAAACACTGGGTCACGTTGAATGAGCCATTTACCGTTAGTAACCATGGCTATGCAGTCGGGTGCCATGCACCGGGACGATGCTCTGCTTGGCAAAACTTAAACTGCACCGGTGGAGATTCAGGCACTGAACCATATTTGGTGACACACCACCAACTTCTTGCACATGCAGCCACTGTAAAATTGTATAAAGACGAATATCAGGTCTAATTAATTACTTTTTTTGTTTTATTTGCAGTCCTAACTAAGAATCCTACCTAAGTCACTAATAGAAGACATAAATAATTTGTATATTAAATTCTTCTCACTCTAAATCAACAAAAATTCTTGAATTTTCTTGCGTAGGCATATCAAAATGGCTCGATAGGAATAACATTGGTGTCGCATTGGTATAAGCCCGCTTCAAATTTAAGAAAAGATAAATGGGCTGCACATCGATCTTTGGATTTTATGTTCGGATGGCAAGTATATTGGTAATTTATTTATCTACATACTCAATTACATGTTTTATTTATGAATTTATGTATTTTGTAGGTTTATGGATCCAGTGACATACGGTGACTATCCGCTTAGCATGAGGTCAATTGTTGGAAAACGATTACCAAAATTCACGGTTGAAGAATCTAAGTTACTAGAAGGGTCATATGATTTTATTGGATTAAATTACTATTCTGCTAGATATGCAAGTCATCAACCTCGCGTTTCTTATGCACATAAAAGCTACTTAACAGATCCTCACGTTAATGTTACAAGTAAGTTCAAAGTGCAAACTTTACTTTGAGCAATGAATCAACTTATTAGAAAAGTTATATTCTAATATTCACATACGTATATTTTTTGGCAGCTGAGCTTAATGGGGTCCCTATTGGTCGGCAGGTTCACTTCAAATTATTAGCCTTTTATTTTTCTAATTAAATTTTCATCTTATACTATTAGCATTTGCAGGATTAACATAGTTCTCCACATCCAAATTAATTATAAAATCTCAATTATCTTTAAATTGGATTGCAGGCCGCTTCAGATTGGTTATATGTTTATCCAAAAGGACTTTACGATCTTGTACTCTACACACAAAAAAAGTATAATGATCCAATCATTTACATTACTGAGAATGGTAATTTAATAGTTTTAAATTATCATTAATATTATAATTAATGTTTCACATATATATGAAATAATGTTAAGTGTTATAAGGTCTAAATTTAAAACTAAATGCATATGGTAATGCATTATATTGTAGGCGTTGATGAGTTCAATGATCCCAAATTACCACTTGAGCAAGCCCTTAATGATACTGATAGAATTGACTATTACTATAGTCACCTTTGTTACCTTCACGCAGCCATGAGGTTAGTGCTTTATATAAGAAATTAATTAAGGCAATCTAATGTATAGTCATCTTAGATTTTGGTTATTTAAACACTACATTGACATCAATACGTTGAATTCTTCACATTTTTTGGTGCAGAAAAGGTGCTAAGGTAAAAGGATATTTCGCATGGTCATTGGTAGACAACTTTGAATGGAGTGATGGATACACAGTTCGTTTTGGTCTCATATATGTGGATTACAGTGATAATCTAAAAAGGCATCTAAAACGCTCAGCGGAGTGGTTCAAAAATTTCCTCAAAAAATATCATTGAAAAAAGTATAAAAGTAATGAATATTTGTAGACAATAATGATGGGATACCAAAAGTTTGAATTCCAAATGTTTAAAGTACACCAGCTCCCCTGGAGTCCAAGAATAAGTTGTAGCAACTCATTATGAGTTTGTGGTGAGGGGAATACCCTCTTCCTTTATTTTATTGGCCATAGTGGTTATTTGTATCTAAATAATAAATGCAATTTCCTCTTGATAATGATGAATAAAATGAAAACTAAAATATGAAAAAGAGTTATATTTACACTAACACCCCTAAGGTTTCTTGTGTTTTTACAAAACCTCCTAAGGTCTCAAAAATTACATGAACACCACTTGTGGTTTCAGTTTGTTTTCACAAAACCCCTTTTCGTTGATTGTTTATCTACAAATTGATGATTTCATTGAAAAAAATACTTATGCAAATGAACAAAATTAACCTCAATGAAGTATATGCAATCTAATCTCAATGGCCAACTTTGTCATTTGGTAAATTTTTTTGTATAAAATAATCAATCTTTGAATGAAAAATCAATGAAAATGAGTTTTGTGAAAACAATTTAAAATGTCAAGAAGTGTTCTTATTATTTCTAAAACCTTAAGGACTAATTTATATTTTCGGGTATTCGGAGCCACAGTGGTAAAATGTATGGTATGGGATATGCAAGCTTGGTGCCCTAAAGTATGAATTAGTGCGTTTAAAAGGGAGTGAGTTCATGACATCACATATGCATAACTTGTTTATTTTATGATTCTTTGATGCATGCCACTTTGATTAGCAATGATAGCTAGCTTTGAGGGGATGTTACAGTACCCTACTGGGCATTAAAATGCTCACACCCTAATGGATGATGCAGGTTCCAATGCAAATCCCGAGGAAGGAGAAGTTCCACTAGAGGACTAGATCAATGTTGTTAGTTGCTGTTTGTATAATTGTTACAGAATAAATTGTTGGAATGTTACTCTAGTGTGTATAACTAACTATGAGCTACTGCGACTCTAACTTTGTATTATTAAATAAGTTTGTAATATTATTGGCTCTATGTCCATCATATCATAGTTATAGGAGTTTGTTCCTATAACTCTGGTATGATTCATGCCTTAATCGGGAATTGTTTTATATTAAAAATGAGTATAGCCAGTCGGCTATACTGGAGTTGTTATTTTTTTTAGCTTTTTATAAATAGTATAGCCGCGCGACGATACTTTTTTGACACGTGGCGCCGAATCGCTAGGTGGGAGCTCGGTGCTAGGCGAGTCCTTTTTTGTTTTTTGTTTTTTGTTTTTATAAATAATATAGCCGCACGGCTATACGCGGGATTTTTTTTTTAAATAGTATAGCCCTGCAGCTTTATTGGGGTCTTTTTTAAAATATATTTTTTGTTTTGTTTTATAAATCGTATAGTCGAGCGGCTATACTCTTTACATGGGCACTGTGATCTTTTTTTGTTAAATTGTTTTTCCTCAATTTTTGTTTATAGATTAGAGTAGGTTAGAGCATTGTCCATTACTATGAGGCCATTACCCGAATCTCTATTGTCTCCTTTTGAGTTTTTACTTTTGCAGAGTTATTACCCGTATAAAGAATTTTGCATTTTCATGTTTAATACTCATATTGTTGTGAGACTCTGTTTTTCTTAAATGATGATTAAACAAAAATAATTGTTATATATATATATAGTTTTACGTAATAAATATTTATCTGATTCTACTACATATATCCTATTATATTATATATATGTGTATTACTTATATATATATATATCTTATTCTATTTGCATATTCATTAGTAAAATGATTCTTGAATGGGTAGTTAGGTGTCAACAAGGCATGCTAGTAGCCTTGTCAAATGTTAGAATAGGATTCGAATCACAACGTGTGTCTATAGGTAAAATTTTCTTATCTACAAGACCATAATATATATATATATATATATATATATATATATACTTTACTTGGGTAAAAAGTACATAAAACCACCAATGATATCCAAACTATCCTTTATACATATAAGTTATATTGTATTTGAATTAAGATTAAGTAGCAAGTAAGTTGAAGTAGCTTTTTATTACTAGCTAGCATCAGTTTAGCATGCAAGTATTGACACCTGCACCCACATGCAAGTATTAAAACGTTAAATAGAGTAGATATTATCAGATTGGGTAAAAATAATATTTCATTCTTATAGATATATAACAATAGAAAGGTTATATATACAGAGCCTAGGAAACTATTCTAGGAAAGTAATTATGTTCCTATAATATTGTAGAATCAAATAGTTGACTTAGACTAATTAGGAATGTACAGCTCATTGATACTCCCCTTCAAGTTGGAGCATATATGTCGTCAATGCCCAACTTGCTAAGTGAGCTGTGAAATACCTTGCCTACGACTGCTTTGGTGAGGACATCTGCAAGTTGATCTTCGGATTTAACAAATGATACCTTAATGATCTTCGCCTTGAGCTTCTCCTTGATGAAATGTTTATCAACTTCAACATGCTTGGTTCTATCATGTTGCACCAGATTATGTGCAATGTCTATTGCAGCTTTGTTGTCACAATTCAATTGCATGGCATGTTTGGGTATGAACCCCAATTCCCCCAACAAATTCCTTATCCAGAGTAGCTCACATACTCCGTGTGCCATACCTCGATATTCTGCTTCAGCACTTGATCTTCACACTACTTTCTGTTTTTTACTTCGCCAAGATACTAGATTGCCTCCCACAAATGTAAAGTATCCAGATGTAGATCGCCTATCAGTAACAGAGCCCGCCCAGTCTGCATTAGTGTGACCCTCAACATCTAGATGACCATGTCGTGCGAACATCAATCCTCTTCCAGGAGATGACTTCAAGTATCTTAGAATTCAATTTACCGCATCCATGTGGGCTTCACTTGGTGCATGCATGAACTGACTCACCACACTTACTGCATATGCTATATCAGGTCTAGTGTGTCCTAGATAGATTAACTTACCCACAAGGCGTTGATATCTCTCTTTATTGGTGGGTACCTGATCAGGATATTCACCAAGCTGATGATTCAACTCCATTGGCGTATCTGCTGGTTTGCTGGCTAACATTCTAGTGTCAGTCAAAATGTAAAGGATATATTTTCGTTGTGATAGAAATATTCCTTGTTCTGAACGAGCCATTTCGATGCCTAGGAAATACTTCAGAGCACCAAGATCTTTCATTTCAAACTCACTCGCCAAGTGGTGCTGCAATGCTGCCTTTTCCACTAGGTCATTCCCAGTAACTACCATGTCATCAACATATACAATAAGGGCAATGACTCTACCTTTCTTATGTTTCAAGAAAAGAGTATGATCTGGGTTACTTTGCTCGTATCCAAAATCCTTCATTGATTTGCTGAACTTTCCAAACCATGCTCTGGGTGACTGCTTCAATCCATAAAGAGACTTTCTCAGTTTACACACCATGTTGCTAGTATTGCGCCCCATCTTGCATCCTGGAGGGGAATCCATATAGACTTCTTCTTCTAGGTCTCCGTGCAGGAAGGCATTTTTGACATCAAACAGGTGTAATGGCCAGTTTAGGTTGGCTGCAGGGGCAAAGGTCTCCCCATAGTCAATCCCATAAGTCTGAGTATAACCTTTCGCCACCAATATTGCTTTGTATGGTTCAATGGTGCCATCTGCCTTGAACTTTACTGTATATATCCATCTACAACCCACTGTTCTCTTCCCTTTAGGAAGGATAGTCATCTCCCAAGTAGAATTCTTCTGGAGGGCCTCCATTTCATCATTCATTAACTTTTGTTTTTGGGTCCGGGTCATACTGTTGTCTAGGAATCCCTCTAGTGGTATGAATAGGTAACTGATAACCTGTGTTTCCTGTATGACTTGATTCAGGCAAAGTGCTTAAGTTGGAGTTTAAATGTTCAATTACCTGCGGGAATCTTTAGGACCTGATTGGATGATTGGTGATAGTACTGTAGTAGGAGGAAAATTATCTGAACTATTATCTGGAGTTTCCAGTAACTCTTGATCTTGTTGCACTACTGTAGCTGGTTGCTCAGACACTGACTGCTTTAAAACATTTTGCTGAATTTGGATGATCTGAGTATCTTCTACAAAGATAGAGCTCTCCCCTGCAGAGGATGCTCAGAAACTCCCCATGAGTAATAGAACTCACTCTCGTGGAAAGTCACATCTGCGGTAACATGCATAGTCTGAGTGGGAGGATGGAAACACTTATAGCCCTTCTGAGTGTCAACATAACCTACAAATACACAACGTAATGCACACGGATCAAGCTTGCCACGCTGATGTGGATACACCTGAACATAAGCAACACAACCAAAGACACGTGGTTCAAGATTTGGTGTGGATGGCATGGTGAGGAGAGTGGTCAATGTCTGAAATGGAGTTTGATACTGAAGAGTGCTGGATGGTGTTCTATTAATGAGGTAAGTAGCAGAACAAATAGCCTCCCCCAAAAAATAATGAGGCATACAGGCCTCAAATAAAGAGGCACGAACAACCTCCAAGAGATGACGCTCTTCGACGCCATTCTGTTGTGGTGTATAGGCACATGTGGTTTGATGAACAATTCCATGTTGACCTAAAAAATTATGTAGGTCATGGTTGACGTACTCTCCTCCATTGTCATACCGAAGTGTAGTGATCTTCTTGTCAAATTGAGTAGCAACATATTGATAAAATAACTTGAATTTGGCGGTGACTTCACTTTTCTGCTTTAGGGGAAAAACCCAAGTCATCCGGGTGCAATCATTAATAAACGTCATAAACCACTTAAAACCGTTAATAATGGGAACTTGTGATGGTCCCCACACATCAGAATGGACAATCATGAAAGGCAGAGAACTTTTATTCAATCTTAATGGGTAAGAAATACGATGGCTTTTCGCCAAAATGCAAGTTTCACAATGAAAGTCTGATTCAGCAAACTGGGAAAACAAATATGAAAATAAAAGTTTCAGATAACCAAAAGAAGCATGCTCTAATCGTCTATGCCATAGCCAAATTTTCTTCATCCTGATTGACTCATCTCCTCTCACATGATGTGCGTGACTCAATCTCGTACTGCTGTCTTCTGTCAAGTCCAGATAATACAACTTTCCCCTCCTAGTACCACATCCAATCACGGTCATGGTGAGAAGATCCTGAAATAGACAATACAATGGCCAAAAACACACGATACAATTAAGGGAATCAATGATTTAAGAAACAGATAACAAGTCATAGTCGAGTGAAGGGACAACTAAGACATGATCAAGACTTAATGAGGATGTAAGAGATAAAGACCCTTCTCCCATAACTTTGGGAGGTGGTGCCATTGGCACTGGTAATATGTGTTTGGCTTGATGGTTTGGTATAGTGTAACCCAGTAAAACTAGATGTCATGTGATCAGTAGCGCCAGTGTCAATAATACATGATCTATTACAAGTAAGTGAAGATATGCAAGAGGTAGTTGAGGTGGATAAGGCCTTGGAGCCAAATGTACCTAATGGAGGTTCTGATGCAGTCTCCTCGGATGACTAAGCGGATGCAAATGAGGCTCTGGTCGAATCCTTTTTTCGCCCTTTGTGGACCCATCCTTCTGGATAACCAATGATCTCATAACAGCCCTTAATTGTGTGGTTATCTAAATCACATTTGGTACACTTCATTGAAGGCCGATTACGAGTAGGGTCGACACTATAGTTGTTCGGCCGAGATTGTTTGAACCTCGCAGTAGCCAAGGCTGTGGCTTCAGAGGTTACACCAGCTTCAGACATGGTTCCCTCGCGGTTACTCTCTCTTTTAATATGTGCATATGCTGCCTCAAGTTCGGGCTTTGGCTCCATCCGCAAAATCTCTCCTCGGATTTGATTGAAATTATTGTCCAAACTTGCAAGAAATATATAAACTCTAAGACGATCAACCTTTTTGCGTCTAGTCTCAATGTCTTTCGGATGCTCCATGGTGCTTGGACTTAATTAATCAAGCTCCTGAAAAATCTCAGTGAGCTCACTGTAATATTTGGCAACTGATGCGCTAGCTTGCTTCATTATGAATGACCATCTGTGAAGGTCATAAATCTTGGCTTCATCGGCACCATCTGAATAGGTTTGCTTGATTGCAACCCAAACTTGCTTTACTGTGTCATAACGAATAAATCGTTTAATCTAATTAGGTTGCATGGTGTTGAACAACCAACTCTTGACTTGGCAATCCGATGCACGCCATTTATTAAATGTGGGATCTGTGTCTGCAGGTTGGGCAATATCACCGGTCAAGTGGCCATGTTTTTCTCGCCCAGCTATCTTCATCTCTATGATTTGATGCCATAGAGAATAATTATTCTCATCTAGTTTGATTCCTGCGGAGAAGTTGGAGGTGTCACTCTGCAAAGTGATGATTTGTGTGGTAGTTTTGGAGCCTCCTGACACCAAGGATTGATTGGTATTTGCTGACCCATCATCATTGGCCATGATATTGGCTTACAAGTGATGAGAGAGAAAACAAAAGAGGCAAAAAGAAATCTGTAAACGTTACTCTGGGTAACTGATGAGAAAAGGACACAAAAAAAAAATATTGGGTTGAAGAGAAACGGTGATTTGAGTTGGTTTGTGAGATTTGAATATTTGTTGAATGACGTGACAAACTAGTTTGACAAATTGGTGCTGGGTTGTGAGATGAAATATAGGCTGGTTTGACAAACTGATTTGACGAAGGTGGACAATAAGACAACCTGATGGAATATAGGCTGGTTTGAAATAAGAAATAGAGGTTGAGGGAAAAAGAAGGCAAGGGAACGGTTGAGTGATTTTCTGGTGCTAGGTTTGTTGACGGCTGCTGTTGCGGAAGCAATTGCTAGGGTTAGGTCAAGAGACAGTCATGATCGACTGCTCTGATACCATATCAGATTGGGTAAAAATAATATTTCATTCGTATAGATATATAACAATAGAAAGGTTATATATACAAAGCCTAGGAAACTATTCTAGGAAAATAATTATGTTCCTATAATCTTGTAGAATCAAATAGTTGACTTAGACTAATTAGGAATGTACAGCTCATTGACAGATATTCTTCCTTGCATAATAAGTAGGCAAGTTCTCCTTTTTGTTTAAACTTATCCATAGTTGTTGCCAATTCCCAACACTAGTAATAACCGACATTCTCTAAGTATAAATAGGCCCCTCTATTGTTGTTGAAAACACTAGATAACAACCTTGTGTAATATTAGAGGTTGCACACAGGGAGGGAGAGAAAGAGAAATAGAGAGTGGTAATAATATTATTCTTGGAGAGGAGTTAGAGGTCGTAGCTTGTGTTTTCTTAACTTGGAGCTAGCTTTGGAAACAAGGTAGGGATTTCTTGGGGAGCCTTTACAAAGATTGATTTAATTAAATTTTGTGATATGATTATTTGATTAATATTCTTGTTACAATTGAATGTTTTTACTGGAATGTTCATGTGTTCATGACTGGTTGAATAATGTTGGCATCATTATATATATATATATATATACATTGGAAATGTTTTAAATGTTACATTGTTGTGAGATATATGGATATGTGAAATACATAATTATATTATGTCATGGAAATTAGTTGAAGTTGTTGGGTGGAGAAAATAATGGAAAAGAGGTAATGGAAATAGTCTTTTGTGTAGTTGAATATAACTCTTGGCAAGTACCAAGTCTCAGGGATCCCACAGTGCACATGGTTTTTATTGGATGATTCGGGACTAGTGACAAAGAATTAGACAAGATGACTAGCAAAAGATTGAGATGGGTGTTAGTTCATATAAACAAGTATTCGGGACCAAGTGGTATAAGCATGGTATGGGATGTGCAGGTTTGCTTGTCCAATTATATGAATTAACGAGAGTAGACGAAGAGCATTCATGCATTATTATTATTAATGTGATATTTGGCAGTATGATTACATGTCACTTAATTTAGTTATATCAATTTATTGTGGTAAGGTTTCATGTCCTTACTGAGAGGTGGTTGCTCATCCCTCACCCTATTTAATTTTTCATATGAATTAGTGGGCAAGACAAGAACTAAACTAGTTGAGGCTGACTTAGATGAGAGTGATAGAACTTTATTTATTTCTTGTAAAGTTGTAAGATTTTTATAAGAAAAGTTTGTTAATGTATGGTTTTTTGTTATTTTCTTTTGGCTTCCCTTGACAACTTTGTAATAGGATGTGTATTGTTATTTATCAAGCTCAAGTTTAGATTAAGGAAAACCTTTCTTGGTGTTCTTCTCTAATTTCTGCTCTATGGAGGTTCAAGCAAGTTGACAAAGGTATTGTGCATTGCATATCATGACATTAAACAGTCTTCATACAATGATGACTAGTCATCCGTTTCTCAGATGACTAGTCATCCTTGCTCTGTAGGATTTCCAACTGGATAACAAACTGTTTTGTCATATTCTTCTTTCTCTCTCTTTGCTGCCATGTGGGTTTCTGACCTAAGGAATTTTTTGGTTTGTAAAGGCTACGATTTTGGTCATTTGGCGGCTGTCTCTTTTGGGTGGAAGTTTTGGAAAGATTGGCTTGCTATCTTTCTCTTCTTCTTCCTCAAGAGAGAACCAAATATTTCATCTATGAGTTTTTCCAATTGATTTCTTTTTGAAAAACTGCATTTGAAACACGAATCTGCATCTAGCTACTTAAATCATTCTCTCATTTATATCTAGGTCAGATTCAAGACTGATTTCTTCAAGAGTATGGTTTCTTGAAGAAATTGGTCATTCTCCTTTGAATCCAAATTTTGGTTTCGATTTGTGTTGGAGCTTGCAAGCTAGTGCCATGGGATGAACGACCTGGAGAAGGAGCTGCCATTGCCATGAAGAACTGAGTTTCAAGCTTTGCTAAGTTGGAGAATAAGATTGCACAAAGGAGGTATAGCTCATCTTCCTAAATAGATCTAGGTTTTTCTTGAGCTTGCTTGTGTTCCTTTGTAAGAATCTTTTTCTACTTAGTGGATTGCCTGGTCAGTTGATGACCCCCAGTTTTTCCCAATGGTGGGTTTCTGGGTGAACAGTTTTTGGTTCTAACTCTGTAAATTTTCTGGGTTTGTGTTCTTGATAGTTGACTAGTCATCTGGGTTTATGCGGTTGACTAGTCATCTGGGTTTATGCGGTTGACTAGTCATCTTTTTCTGCTGTTTGGTGTTTGCTTGATTATGCTATCTTCACACACTTTCACCATAGTTGTTGCTCGCATGGGGGATGCCTAGATTGATGGGTCATTCTGAGTGCCTAGGTTGTCACTATTAATTCTCTAGGCTTGCAGGTACATCTTTGTATGCTCTGTGTATGTTATTGTTTGGTATAATTCATATATGACAGTTGACTAGTCATAAGAGTATTTGGTCAAGATCTAGAGTGTGAAGTTTGCTGCGTTCTTGGTTGAATATCTTTTAAATTTACCCCTTGTCACCTAAGTACCAATTTCAAAGTTTATTTTAAAACCCTTGTTTTCGGCTTCTTTTTATTTTATTTTACTTTATATTTTCTCACGCACCACCCCTGGGTCCAGGGTGTGACAATTGTACACGTATTTTTCATGTTTAATACACTTGTTTTTACGAACTTTTCACTAATGCACACAAAATTCACTTATTATACACAAAAGTTTTGCATATTATTGAATAAAAATAATATATATTAAAATATTATATAGTGGCCAAACTTATCAGTTGTAATTTCCCAAAATATTGCTGAATAAAACACGTACATATTTTATTCTTATTTTTCCCGTTCCGTGTTTTACTAACTATGAAAGAATGTGAAAGGCTAAGATTATTTCTTACTTGTTGTAACAAAAATGCAAGATGGTGATTTTGCAATCTCTTTGCCAACCAGAACAACAATTTCAAACAAAGATTTATAAGTATAGTAGCATGCGAGGTAGTAGTATTTTTATGTACAAAGTGTTGTTTGAAATGAACAAATAAATTACCAAGAACTCTCAAACTCAGCATGCAATTCTCTACAATAAATAATGTGTGCAATAACAGAATTTAGTAACACCAAAGAGAACAAGGTAGACCAAAGGCAAACATTCTCACAAAAAAAGAAGAAGAAAAAATTGAACTCTCAAATTGATTTACTATGAAATTTTTCTGTCTTCAATATCTACTTTGAAGATGTTGAAACTAGCAAATATCTTTAACGTATAAGCTAATGCAACTAGAAGAGTCCTTTCAATTTTTTTTTTTAATAAATAGTATAGTCGTACAGGCTATAGTCCTTTTAAATACAATATACTTAGAGAGTACTGCCACGAGGCTATACTATGAATTTTTTTATTATAAAAAATAGTATAGCCACACGGCTACACATTGTTGGACATGTGGCGCCATACCTCCAGGTAAGCACCAGACAGGTTTTTTTTAATTATATAAAAAATAGTATAGTCACACGGCTATACTCGGGATTTTTTTATATATAAAAAAATGAGTATAGCCGCATGGCCTTACTGGGGTCCTTTTCTTTTAGTTTTTCTTTTTTATAAATAGTATAGCCGCATGGATATATGTTTTTTGACACGTGGTGCCAAATTGGTAGGTGGGTCTCTCTTTTTTTGAAAATAAAAAAAATAGTAAAGCCGCACGGCTATACACGGGGGGTTTTTTATTTTTATTTTTAATTATAAATAAATTAGTATAGGTGCCCAGTGTTACTAGGGTTTTTGTGTTTTAGTTTTTTAATAAATAGTATAGCCGATCGGCCATACTCTTTACATAGACACTGATTTTTTTTTTTGTTAAATTGTTTTTCCTCGATTTTTTTATTTTATGAATTAGAATAGTTTAGAGCATTACCCATTACTATTAGATCATTACCCGAGTCTCTATTGTCCCATTTTAAGTTTTTACTTTTCCAGAAAGAATTTAGGATTTTCACTTTTAATACTCTTATTTTACACGTACGTACTTATTTTTCATGTTTAATACACTTGTTTTTTACAAAATTTTCAATAATACACACAAAATTCACTTATTATCTCATAAGTTTTGCATATTATTGAATAAAAATAATATAAATTAAAAATATTTAAATAAATCATTTTAAAATATTATATAGTGGCTGAACTCATCAGTTGTAATTTGCCAAAAATATTGCCGAATAAAACACGTACGTATTTTATTCATATTTTTCCCGTTCCGTATTTTACTAACTATAAAAGAATGTGAGAGACTAAGATTATTTCTTACTTGTTGTAACAAAAATGCAAGATTGGGATTTTGTAATCTCTTTCCCAACCAGAGCAACAATTTCAAACAAATATTTATGGGTGTAGTAGTAAGCGAGGTGGTAGTATTCTTCATCTAAAGTGTTGTTTGAAATATGAAGCAATTACTAAGAACACTCCAATAGGGTACTTTTTCTGTTAATTTTTTTTGAATCTAAAAGCATTCACACAAATAACTTCTACAAAAAAAAAAAAAAAAAAAAAATAAAAAAAAAAAAAAAAAAAAAAAAAAAAAAAAAAAAAAAAAGGTTATATTTTTATTTTCCACAAAAACAACTGTGGCATTCCAAACCATTTTTCTTTTTCTTTAACTTCCTCTGAAAATTAAAATTTACGACTGATAGGGATATATAGCAAATGGGTAATGCTAGGCTTACCACATTTTTGTACCACATTGTGTACCACCTCTCTAATAGAGGTGGAGCCCACCAATACAATGCATCCCACCTCTATTAAAGATGTGGTACACAATGGAGTATAAAAATATGGTAAGCTTAGCATTTTCCATAGCAAATTCCTCCTAATTCTGTGCATGCTCGAAGATATACTTTGCTAATACAACTCCATTCAAGTCATAATTGTAAAACTCTATGGTAAGCTTCTTAAGCTGATAAAAATCAAGGTTTTACATCTTCCAATATTCCACGTCAAACCCAGATGTCTGCAAAGGAAAGAAGACAAGCAACAAATCAGTTGGGGTTTTCCCAAACAGAAAAAAACACAAAAAACCTAAACCAAAACAAAATATAAAGAACTGCATTATTGGAACAGCATGATGAAAATGCTCATGATTCTAGAAATGATTATACATACATACATTCATGGTCAGGAAAATTATGATGAATATGATCAGGAAGAAAGTAATAACATAGATATTAACTTACATTAGATTCAGGGTCATTCAGAGGTGGTTTAGTCTCTTAATGTGAGATTGGAGGAAAAAGAGGACGACGGCGCCTTAATAACCATACAATTGATGTCCACCGTAAGAGACCTCAAAGATCCACAAAGAAAGACGGAAGATGGAAACTTTGGAGTCCACTCTTGATTATCATTGAAGTCAAGATCAAGCACTTCAACATTACACCTCAGAGCATTGTGGACCCATGACATGATTCGAAAATACTCATCCATACAGAAGCACGGTGTTTCCTCACTGTCCTCCTCATCATGACTAAGCCAATGAACACGAAACCACTGTATCTTATTATTACCGCGATGAAATAGGAACCTATCCAAACCATTCAATAACCAATGCGGCTTAGCACACGAGGACTCACGCACGGTAGTAAATTCATCAAAATCCAATGCAGGAGATGACAGAGACAATTCTCTGCATTTTTTGGACACACAGCAAAAAGGGGCAAGGTGTTTGATAGTAAGGAAGGAAAGAATGTGATGGGAAACTTGGTCTGGGAGATTACTAAGTCTGTCTATTTCTATCATACTCTCACTGCTCTCACTACAACCTCCTTCACCTTTACAACTTGCTCTAGCCATAGCTACTTCATCAATTATATTAATTTCTACACTGAACTGAACCAAAACAAAGACAAGTATTGTTCTTGATCCTAATGCTTACTAGGATGAGCAAGAGGGTATTTGAGCCGCATTGGATAGATGCCCCCCATCTCCCTTGGGCCCGCAGAGTCTGGAAAGTGATGAATTGCCAGGTCTCCTCCCTCCCGAAGCAGAGCACAAAAAACCCTAATTTTGTTAATTTGAGGGTGTATTGGTTCTTGCCGATTTTGTTAAGTAATGGGTCACAGTTGATAATAGCTTTTAAATTTCATTTTTTCAAAAATAAAATAAAATATTACTTTATTAGATGAACTCCACACACTATAAGTGAATATTTCAGATATAGTAGTTGCTTAAATTCTGATTATATATCATTACTACTATATTATCATTATTTTTTTAAAGTTTAATATCTTTTTTTCATGTTGCAAATGCAGATTTACTACCTATTAAATACTTCGAAATTTGTCAACCGACTCTTCTTCATGCTCTCCTCTAATGCTTAAGAAAACTAACGAAACGAAAGCAGTAATTCTTAAGAAAGTGGACAAGAAAACGAACTCTGTAACATCCAAAAGAAATTCTTAAGAAAACTAATGCCTTCTGAATTGTTCATACTGTACAACGAATACAATAATGTAGCAGTGCACAATGAACATTGTTGCTTAAACTCTGAAGCATTACAGATCTAAATAATTCCCACAATTGATCCATCAACATTCACAGTAAGAAGTCTCGACTTTCCTTGAACAGAACTGTGGCACGGGTTGCTTTCGTCTAACCTCCTCATATTGTCATCCAAATTCTGGGTAAACAAATTATGAGCATTTTCTCCAAATTCTGAGCACACTTGAGCATATACCTTACTAGCTCAACTCCATTAGACCCATCAGAAAGCTTTATGGTAACATCCTTAAGCTGATTAATAAAAGCGAGGTTTTGCATCTTCCAATATCCCATATTAAACCCAGATGTCTGCAATGAAAAGAAGGCAAGCAAATCAATTGAAGATTACCAAAAAAAGTCAAAACCAAATAAATAGAGTTCGTTAACTGCGTTATTTTAAAAGCGTGATGAGTATGCCCCTGTTTGATTCTAGAATGATAACATGTGAGTGCGTGGGAGAGAGAGACAAAGAGAAGTAAGTAGCAGCACAGAGTTAACTTACATTAGATTTAGGGTCATCCAGAGGTGGCTTTGTTTTTATGAGCACATTACACAAATTTGGCATTCCTCTAAAAAGAGAAACCATAGCTGCGACTAACTCATCAACAACATTTCCAATCCGCAGACCCAGAGAACAAACATTGTTTAATGGTGGTGGCATGGATCCTCTCCGAAACAGAGCCTGCAAAGTTATAAATCATGTTTCTCAACTTCCTTTCACTCTTTTCAACAAAACATAGCACAAATATGATTTTCACTCTTGTTAGTGAGACCATTATCAAACCAAAAGAAATGCCTTTACTTAGTGGCAGAGCCAGGAAACTATACCAAGAGGGGACAGTTTTCCTAAGAAACAGAATCTCATTGATACATCAATTAAGTACAGACGGTGGATAAGAAGTTGATAATTGTATTCAAAGTATGAATATTACAGATTAACATACAAAACATCTGACAACACAAATTATCGCACTGACACAGTTTTACAGAATCCATGATAAACATATCACCCCACACCACAAAGAAATAGGAAAATTTAGTTCAAATTGCATAAGAAATTTAATTATTTGCCAAAGACAAAAAAATAAAAAAATTCAGTCTGAAGTATGAGGGTTCCGGTTCAATTTACCTTAACGGTCTCTTCATTTAGGGTAAGAACTTTGGCCCTGCTTAAACTGCAAAGAACCTCAAATACATTCTCAAACTCATCTCCTTAAGGCATCATAAGAATTTCAGCTTCTTCTAAGATATCTAAATTTTCAAGATTTCGGTGGTTCATCAAATTCCCCTTCCAACTGAAATACTTGAACCTTGGGGCAAAAATATTTAATGAATGTTTGCTAGGTGATTGGATTATCCACTCCATAATTAAAGATTCAAGTTTCTCACATGAGATGTTAAGTACGTCAAACGAATCATCATTCACAAAAAAAAATGTCTTCAAAGACGAGCTTTCAATGGTGATATTATTCGCAGCAACTTCTTGTAGAACTAAGTCCTCAATGCATTTGCAGCAAGATGAGATCCATTTGTCAACTCCAAGTATTTGAGATTAGAGGAAAATGTGGAGGGCACGGTAAGACTAGTACAGCCCTGTCCAACGATAGAGATGTCAAGGATGCACAAAGAAAGACATGAGATGGAAACTTCGGAGCTATCTCACTTCCAGGGCTGATGTAAAGATCAAGCTCTTCCACATTGCACCTTACTGCATTGTGGACCCATGACATCACTCGAAAATGCTCTTCACAGAAGCACGTTGTCATGTCACTATTGCTATAGTCGGTATCCTCGTCTGTATTTGATAAATACACGACTTTGTCCTCTGCAACGTGACAAAACCAACGAACACGAAAGGACTGTCTTTCCAGGGACACAAGGACTAATTTAATAAAAACACCTCGAACGAGCACTTTAAAACAAACTCCTAACTTTCCCGGGACTCAAAGTGTGTGTACGACAAATGGGGAGTTTCTAAGGCCAATCTAACACTTTTCTAAACATGAAACGACCTCGGAAGACTCACGGTCAACTGATTGGTCAAACTTCACATATTGGTCAACAAGGCCAGTGGGGCCCACGACCACCGATTTCCGGTCTAGAAGTTCTTATAGGTCCAACAAGGTCTACTAAACAAGTCTTGAAAGTTTGGTCTCGATGGAGCAGTCGAAACTAAGTCAATCGCATGATCGGACAACCAAACTTATCGAACCCGGATATCGCATAATAGGCGCAATATCCGTTCAATAGTCAAACGGTAACCAATTCTAAATCCGAGCATACCGTCGTACTCAAGACGACGTGATGAGTGTTTTTTAATGCAATGGGTTGCCACCTAGTGGCCCGCGCGCAGCCACCCACCCCCAGCAACGCGTGGTTGTCTTGAGAAAAGAAAGAAAGTGTTAGGGAGAGAGAAAACACTTGGGAGAGAGAGAGAGAGAGAGAGAGAGAGAGAGAGAGAGAGAGAGAGAGAGAGAGAGAGAGAGAAGATCTGTTTTTAATATCCAACTTCAAAAAAGTTATGGTTGTGCACCTGTACTTCCGTTAACTGCAACTTCTTCGTTAAAACTCCGATTTGGACTCACTATGTGTCTACGAACTCGTGAGAGTGAGCTCTACGCAATGGTGCCAATCAAATCCCAAAAATCCTCATGGATTGGAAAGTGACTAATGTGACCTTACCCAAAAGGGCAAAATTGTAATTTCACAATTAATTAAATTGAATAAAACGATTAAATTGTGTTGGGGGCGTTACAGTGTGATTTGAATTACTTTGTGTATATCCAAAACTCTTCATAGATTTAGTAAATCTGCCAAACCATGCCCTAGGAGATTGCTTTAACCCAAACAATGACTTTCTGAGCTTGCAAACATGATTTTTCTTGTCATGAGCCAAATTACATCCTAGGGTAAGTCCATATATACTTATTCTTCCAAGTCTCCATGTAAGAATGCATTTTTGACATCAAACTGGTGTAATGACCAATCGAGATTTGCTGCTAGAGACAATAGGACTCTTAATGATACCAATAGAATTGACTACTACTATCGTCACCTTTGTTATTCAAGCAGCCATTAAGTAAGTGCATGTTTAAGTAATTAATCAAGGCCATCTAAGTTATAGTCGTCTCAGATTTTGGTTATTTAAACATTACATTGACATCAATACATTTAATTTTCCTTCTTTTTTTCCCCCCTGTATGTGCCGAAATGGTGCTAAAGTGAAAGAATATTTTGCATGGTCATTATTAGACAACTTTGAATGGAATTCTGGATACATTGTTCAGTTAGGTATCAACTATATGAATTATGATGATAATCTAAAAAGATACTCAAAACTCTCGGCATATTGGTTCAAAAGATTCCTCAAGAAGAAAGAAAAAAGTACGAAAGAGATCCAAATATTTGTGGACGATAATGATGGGTCTCCAAATGTTTGAATTCCAAATGATGAATAAAGTATGACAGCTCCCCCGAAGTCGTAGTGCGACTTGTTGGCAATAATGTATGTAAGCAACTGATTCCAGAAATTGCCACAAGAAATGAGTGTTAGAGGGAGATCAATACGCAACACAAAGTTGACTTATACTTTCTCTTGATTCAGTCCCGTACGTATGGGATAGTCTTTTTATGTACAAAATATTCAAAATTAGGTATTGCCCTGACAAGAGAGACCATTGACGGAACAAGTTCATCTGTCAAGTCAAGTAACTACAATGAATACACAATTTACGAATACTTATACTTATGGTGCACGGCATGGACCCTTCTTTGAACAGAACCAGCATGGGGAATGCTAGCAACCTTCTCTCTAACCTTCTCCTTTGGACCTTCTCCATTTTTTACTTGACAGGTGTCATTCTCCTTACGCTTAAAACAATGTCATTACTATATTATACAAGTTAACTTTTGATTTCCAAGTTTACCCTTATTAAATGTATTCAATTTATCCAAAAAAATTTCATAACTTTTTTACCATCTTATTAATTTTAAAATTAAAAAAAAGAAAATGTCAACTTTTTTCAAAAAAGAGGAAATGTCCCTTTTTTTTAAAACACACAGGATTTTATATTTTTTTTTCCCTATCTAAACCCTTTGTGTTAAAAAAGAAAAAAGAAAAAAAAGGGACATTTCCTCTTTTTTGAAAAAAGGCAGGTATTTTCTTTAAAAAAAATTAATTGACGTTAGAAAAAAATTAATAAGATGGTAAGAAATTTGTGAAATTTTTTTGGATAAATTGAATACATTTAATAAAGGTAAATTTGGAAAGCAAAAGTTAGCTTGTATAATATATTAATGACATTGTTTAAAGTGTAAAGAGAATGACACATGTCAAGCAAAAAATGGAGAATGTCCAAAAGAGAAGGTTAGAGAAAAGATTGCTAGCATTCCTTTTTTATAAATACAAATTCTTGATTAGAAAGAAGACAAGAACCTACACTCAATAAGCAAAAAGAAAAAACAGTAATAAAGTTAAACTAACTGCTATGCATCTCAGAATCAAGATTATTAATAACCATCAATTGCTAAACAATTTTGTGCTTATAGAAGGGCTAAAAGTGATTCTAACATCATTTGGCAGAAGAATTTAAAAGCACTTCTGGGTTATATAAGCGCTTTTAGATGGACCTTAACCTTATGGACAACAACCTTTTTTTAAAGCCCGATTGTGTTTTTAAAAATAATAATTTTTAAAAAAGTTGACACAATCTTTTTTAAAGCCCTTGTGTTTACCAAAAGAAAAAAACAAAGGTACTTGTTTACAATACATCTTCCGCCAAAGCATACATCTTCCACAATTCATTAATTTTAGGGAACTTAGTTGAACTTGAAGACTGCAAATCGCCCCTAGCCCTCATGCCTAACATTTACAGCTGAAGCTTAGCAGTTGAAGTTGTTAACAGTTCAGTCCAGCCCAGATATTTCCAGTCCAACCCGGATCAGAGCCTCCCATCCATACAGAAATGGAGTTCCAGCTGTCTTTTTATCTTTCTAGCGTGGGTATTTATTTTTATAGTTTTGTAAAAGGCAGTTCTGCCTAAGACAGCTTAAATTCCATCAACCATTCTGGCCAGAACAACATCTTTTTACTGAGATAAATTGTTAAAGTCCTCATTAGTCTGAGGCACAGCCATTATTTATGTTCCTAGAATGGCCAACAAAGTGGATTGGCTAGTGATGAAGCAACAAATACTAGCACATATTGAAAAGAAAGTATGGAGTGCCGCACCAAGTAAGTAAACCAAAGAAAAGAAGAAGAAGTGGTGATGACATTGATTAAAAATAAAAATACAAACAAAAGAAAGAGGAGCCGCCAGCACCAAAGAACAAATAGCAAATGGAGTCAGGTGGCATTGAGTAAACAATTGAAAGTTTGCAAATAAACAAAAGGAATAAGATATATTTTGAGAAAAAAATTATTTTGTGATAGAAATTTACCTTTTCTAGAAAATAGAGAGAGGAGAGAGAAAAACATTTTAATTTATTTTTTATGTCAAAAAGTTATGTCATATTTAATCTCATTCATTAAAAGTGGAACATCTCCAAGGGAGATGTCAAATACCAAATATCAAATTTAAATTTGATGGCTGATGTGGCTATTTGACATTTTACACAGCTTTACACTCCACCCGATATGTCAAATTAAATTATTATTTTATTACATTTTAATGTTGATTTATTTTTAATTAAAAATAAAAGAAAAGAAAAAATAATAAAATATTCATTTGACATCTTACTTTTGGGATGTCAAAAATAACATCTCAACCTCTAGCCTTAATTTCACATCAGCTTTGACACATCGATTGGAGTGATGTGAGATGTTATTTCTAGCTGTTAAAGGTCTATGTGGAACTTTTAACACATCAGTTGGAGACTTGTGTCAAAAATATGGTGCCACGGATCCACCCCCATATATGGAGAACTAAAGAAAAGCTTTCAATATAGGTTTGTAAGTTAATTAGTATGATCTGAACTTGAGCTGAATGTGAATGCTTATTGTCATAATGTGAAGTTGAAAATGTCTCATACTAGAAAGTTGAGAAATTTAGTAAGAGCTTATAAGGAGTAAGGCTACTCCCCCCGTTGCCAATTGATTTTGGGGTGTAACCTCAACTTCATTCATGCTATTAAAGCGGTTTACCATGTGTGAAACCTAGCAGTTACAACCATGGATTGAGTTTGGGACTCTAGAGGAAAGAGATGAGCAACATCAAAGCATACACAAAAGCTAGAGAGAAAAGCGGGGTTTTTTTATAAAATAAAAAAAATAGTTTTATTTTGTAGAACAAACAATGATTGCAAAACATAATTATTTGCTAAAAAAATTGTGCTCTTTCTTTCCACTCCTGGTGGACTCGACACTCAAGTTATACTGCTTAATATACGTTCACTTTAAGTCTGAGTAAGCATATACAAACAATCCTTTACAACGTTCAAAATAAATTGAGGAAATAAAAAATAAAAAATTGTAGACATAGTCCGCTCACCATGATGTCGATAAACAATCTCGTAAAAGACAATTAAAGCTAAACCATGATTGTTTCTTCACTCTCCCTCCAAGCTCTCTAATATTAGTATGTGTTATATTCAAGGAGATTTAGAAGCAGTAGCTTCTTTCACCCACACTGGAAATTAAAGTGTCGGATGTGCACGTTGCCGGTACTGTGGTAGAATAGAGGGGATCAGAGCAGAGAAGGATTCTTGGATTGATTTTGTGACTAGTTGGCTTTTGGTTAACCCCTTCATTAGCTTAATTTAATTTCTTAATAAGTTAATGATTTTTGACATGCTGGAAATTTGGTAATGGAAGGTCATGTTGATGTTTTTTAGGACTTAATTTTGTGACTGTTCCTACCATTTACTCGGTTCGTTATTAATTTATTACCCATCCTCCTTGCTTGATCTTAAAGCCTACTTGCGTTTACCACAAAAAAAAAAAAAAAAACCCATGCCATATGGCAGGAAGAACCAGAACACCAAAAATCCTCCAGTTAATTATGGTAATGATGCGATTAGGCTCTTTGCTCTTATATGTGTGATGCTACTCTTTGGCTCTGCATTAACAAATAGCAAAGCTGCTGCTGATACCGATCTACAACCCATTTGTGAATTGCTCAATAGGAAAAGTTTCGTTGCTCTCGAACCAGGGTTCATATTTGGGACAGCCTCAGCATCTTACCAGGTCAATTCCCTCTCGGGGCTTAATTAATAATTAACCTTTGATTTGTGTTTATTATGTCACAGATCAATTATGCCGGTGCTGTAAAAGAAGATGGTAGAGGACCAAGCATATGGGATAACTACACCCACAGCCATCCAGGTCTGTCTACTCTACCTTTGTGTGCCATGGAAGCCATGAGTCGTCGACTTAGCTCTAATAACGTTTGTCGGGATACTACAACTCTAGGGGCCCAATATTTCGTCGGTATTTTTATTTGGATAATACTATAATTAGTGATGTGGCTTAGCGGAAGTGTTTTTTTTTGAGGAGATTCACTATTATACTCAATATAAGAGCCCAAATTATATATATAAAAAATATATATAATGGATTTTAGAAACGCACCAAAGCCCATTTACGACATAATAAAAAGGTTTTTAACTTTTTTTAAATTACAAAACTACCATTGATTTCTTAAAACAAACCCAACCCCAAAACCTCATAAAAAAGCCCAAAACATTCAATAAGGCATCAAAGTAATTTAATAATCAAAATTAAATTCAATAGGGCAAACTATCATTTTTTGGGTTTATTTATAGAAATTAAATGGTGTAGGATTTATCTATACTAAGAATGGGTATATGACTAAATATATATTTTTGCGGTCATAGTGCAAGTTATCTTTTAAAAAAAGAACAAATTTTTGTTGTTGTGTTTTTCTCGTTATTTTCAATTATCATTAAATATTTAGACATCTAACTGATCAATTGTGTCTTTAGCTACTAGTGGTCATGCAGTATGTATACTCGGTCTATACACACTTTATATGATTTTTAGAATCTTTATGCTGTATATAATTAAAATTTTCTATATATAATTGCAGAAAGAATCAAGGATGGCAGTAATGGAGATGTCGTTGTTGATCAATATCACTGCTATACAGGTCTAACATCATTTGTGACAATCTTCCATTGAGATCTTCCTCAAGTTTTGTATGACGAATATGGTGGTTTCTTAAGCCCTAAAATTGTGTAAGCGAACAAATTCTATCCTCAATACATGGTAATGATCATTTAATGAATTAAATATTACAGTAACATCTACATCTTGAATTGTGCATACTATATACAATGATCATTTTCAAGCATATGCAAAACTTTATTTTGAGAACTTTGGCGATCGAGTAAAACACTGGATCACTTTGAATGAGCCATATACCTTTAGTGTCAATGGTTATGCATACAGGTCCCACGCACCGGGAAGATGCTCTGCTTGGCAAAACCTAAACTGCACTAGTGGAAATTCAGCTACTGAACCATATTTGATGACACAACACCAACTCCTTGCTCATACAGCCGCTGTAAAATTGTATAAAGATGAATATCAAGTCAATTAATTACAACATAAGACATAATAATTTGTATATTAAAATTTTGCTCACTCTAAATTAACAAAAATTCTTGAATTTTCTTGCGTAGGCATCTCAAAATGGCTCAATAGGAATAACATTGGTGTCACCTTGGTTTGAGCCTGCTTCGGAGGCACAACGGATATAAATGCTACATTCCGAGCTTTGGATTTTATTCTCGGATGGCAAGTATATTTTTAATTTATATATCTACTCAATTATATGTTTTGTTTATGAATTTACATGTTTTTTAGGTTTATGGACCCATTGACACACGGTGACTATCTGCATAGTATGCGGTCAAATGTTAGAGAACGATTACCAAAATTCATGGAAGAAGAATCCAAATTACTAAAAGGGTCATTTGATTTTATTGGAATAAATTACTATACTGCAAGATATGCAAGTAATGAACGTGGCATTGTTTCTGTACATGCAAGCTACTTAACAGATCCTCACGTTAATATTACAAGTGAGTTCAAATCGAAAATTTTACTTTGAGCAATGAATTAAGTTATTAGAATAGTTAAATTCTAATATTGATATATGTATATGTTTTATGGGGTCCCTATTGGTCCACATGTGTATATCAAATTATTAGCTTATACCATTAGCATTTGGCGAGGATTCATATTGTTTTCCACATACAAAATACTCCTAAAATCTCAATTATCTTTTAATTGGGTTGCAGGCTGCATCAGGTTAGTTATATGTTTATCCAAAAGGAATTCATGATCTTGTACTCTACACAAAAGAAAAGTATAATAATCCCATCATTTACATTACTGAGAATGGTAATTAATAGTTTTAAATTGTCATTAATTGTATCATTAATGTTTCACATATATAATGGTATGAAATAATGTTAAGTTTTAGAGCATCTCCAAAGGAGATGTCAAATACCAAACATCAAATTTAAATTTGATGGTTGATGTGGCAATTTGACATCTTACACAGCTTTACACTCCACTCGATAAGTCAAATTAAATTATTATTTTATTACATTTTAGTGTTGATTCATTTTTAGTTAAAAATAAAAGAAAAGAAAAAATAATAAAATATTCATCTGACATCTTGCTTTTGGGATATCAAAAATAACATCTCAACCTCCAGCCTTCATTCCACATCAGCTTTGACACATCAGTTGGAGTGATATAAGATGTTATTTATAGCTGTTAAATGTTTATGTGACACGTTTGACACATCGATTGGAGATGCTCTTATGTTTAAATTTAAAACTAAATGCATTATATTGTAGGCGTTGATGAGTTCAATGATCCCAAATTACCACTTCAGCAAGCCCTTAATGATACCGAAAGAATTGACTATTACTACCATCACCTTTGTTACCTTCACGCATCCATGAGGTAAGTGCTAGTTTAAGAAATTAATTAAGGCAATCTAAGGTACATTCATCTTAGATTTTGGTTATTTAAACACTACATTGACATTAATACATTGAATTCTTCCTTTTTTTTTTGTGCAGAAAAGGTGCAAAGGTGAAAGGATATTTCGCATGGTCATTACTAGACAACTTTGAATGGAATGATGGATACACTGTTCGATTTGGTATCACCTATGTGGATTACAATGATGATCTAAAAAGGCACCCCAAAACGCTCCGCGTACTGGTTCAAAAATTTGCTCAAGTAATATCTTTGAAAAAAGTACGAAAGTGATCTAAATATTTGTAGACAATAATGATGGGAACCAAAAGTTTGAGTGTTCTTTTTTTTTTTTAGCTTAACTCTATTTCAGTCGAAATAAGTTGCAGCAACTTGTTATGAGCTTGTTGTGTGAGTTTGTTGCTTCTCCTTGTTAGAGTTTAGTTTTAATTATTCTTTATGTTTTTTTTATGCTTGGTTTATCCTAGTTTGTTGACTCGATAAAGGAGGGGTATTTTGGCGCTTTGTGGTTATGGTGGGATGAATACCCTTGTTGTGGTGGTCCCAGAAGGGTGCAAACACAAAAAATGTTGGTGTGAGTTGGCGATTTTTATTGATTGTAATTTATTTATTTTTCTATTTTTAATTTCCTACTGTACGTAGAATTCAGAGTAATGGTCATACTTGGCCTTTAAGGCATGATGCACTATATATATGTTCCTTATACAAGAAGAAGAATACATTCAGAATTACTTGGCCTTTCACGTTGGTTTATTTGGATTCTAGAATTGTTTTCTATGTTCTTAGTATTTATGCTATAACCATAAAATTGAGAAATAAGGAATATTAAAATGGCTGGTTTTGTTGGTTGGCTAGGTTTAATGTAATTTTTGCTCTTGGGTTTGTCTTCATCTTTCTCTTCGGTTCGTTTTAATTCCTTCTTGAGTTTTTGTTTTAATTTATTCTTGAGTTTGATTTGATGTATTTTCTGTTTGTGGGTTTGATTTACTTTGTTTTTTGGTTTCTGCAATTTGATTGTGAGTTTGATATGTGCCAAAGTGTAGAAGAAGAAGGAAGAAAAGGGGATTTGATGGGGAAAGAAGACCATGGCGTGAGTTTGTTTAATTTCTGCAAAAGAAGAAATTAAAGAAATAAGGTTGTACCAAATAATAAGATGGTAATTGCAGATTTTAAGAAAGAAGAAGTAATTGGGTTATCTTTGGAATTAAATGTCGCAAACATAGGAAGTAGAAGAAGAGCACAAGTGCAGATGGGGGCAAAAGGAGGAGAGACTGAGATGCAGAACTTACAATAATAATAAGGTGCAATGCGAGCGTTTTTGTTTAATATTTTGTGTGATTAATATTCTCTTAAATTCGTATAAATGCACCGATGATAAATGTAGAAGCTTAAGATCCCTGACGGTTCATCAAATTTCCAACTCATTTGAAATTTCCAACCCATTTGAGATACTTCAAATTTGAAGCACAAATTTCCAATGAACTGCTATCAGGTTGCGGATCCTTAGAACATCCACAATCATGCTATCTATTTTTTAGTTAAATTTTAGCTAAAAACATATAAAAGTTATTTTAGGAGCTCTTTATAAAATTTAAACTCCAATGATGCTCTCTAATTTAGGGAGTTATAAATGCTATAACTCTTTTTTAATTGGTTTATCTAAAAATAATAAACATGAATTAAAAGTTTGAAATACTCATTAAATAAAGCAGTATTAAATTATAGGAAGCCACTAGGAGTTATTTATCTCTCCTCAAATTTAGGAGCTCCTAGAGGTCTCCCTATTTTAGAAGGTGGATAGGAAGCATGGTTGGAGTTGTATTTTTCCAAAGCCTCCCTAAAATTTGTATAAGGAGATGGTTTATGGAGCCCATTGTGAATGCTCTTAAAGGTCTAATTTATATCTATATCTTTAAGAGATTTCTTTATTTTAGAGATTTTAACAGGGAAAAAAAAAAAAAAAAAAAAAAAAAAGGAAAAAAAAAAAAAGCCCTAAATGATTCCACAACGAGCTCTCAATGTTAAAGTTTGTCCTCGAACCTTTTTTATAGGCAATTGCATCCTCTAACTCGATATCCTTCAGTCAATTTGGCTGTTAATTTGAGGGTTAAAACCGTTTATCTAATTAAAAATATATATTATAAAAGTTAGAAAATGAAATAAAAATGAAAAACTAAATCTCAACCACCCCACCCCACCCAACCCCTCCTCTCTCTCTCTCTCTCTCTCTCTAATTGCCAGGACCCAGCACTCATCGCCCGCTTATGCTCCTTCCACTTTAGTTGGTCCTGGTTTTTTTGTTTTTTTGAACGAAGCGATATCGTTGAAACAAAAAACTCAGTACAATAAATCTTCCACCAAAGCATCCATACATCTTCCAAAATACATTTTAGGCTAATTGAAGACTGCAATTCGCTCCTGGCTCTAATGGCCAACAAAGTGGCCGATGCAGATTTCACCATCTTCAGACAAGGGGATTTGCTAGTGATGCAGCAAATACTAGCAGATATTGAAAAGAAAGCATGGAGTGCCGCACCAAGTAAGAAAAGAAGAAGTGGTGACGACATTTAAAAATAAAACAAAAGAAAGAGGAGCCGCACGAAAGAAGAAATAGCAACTGGAGTCAAGGTGGCATTGAGTAAACAATGGAAAGTTGGCAAATAAATAAAAAAGGCTAAACTATATCCGAGTTACATTTTCATCATTGAACTCCAAAAAATAGTAGTTGTCGTCCTCAAATTAGAGTTACATTTTTGTCACTGAACTCCAAAAATAGTAGTTGTCGTCCTCAAATTAGGTCATGTGTTCCACTACTAACCATTTTCATCAACTCCGTCAACTTTTCCATTAATTTCATAAGTAAGTTTGAAAATTCACTCCAAATGTTTAGGAAAAAAATAAACTAATAAAAATTATTAAGAATAATAATTAAATATTTAAAAAGACCACCGATTGATTGGCTCCTCTCCCTGCCCCAACCCAGCCCTTGCCCCTTTGGTAACCCACCATTCTAATCCATGGGGAGGACGACTGAGGTGGAGGGAAGAGGCGGAATTGTTGATATTATGACTCACACGAGAGAGAGAGAGAGAGAGAGAGAGAGAGGCAGTGGTGATGGTCGATGGTCGTTTGGCAATGGCCATGACACAGCGACTGGCAGTTGTCATTTGGCAGTGGTATGAGATAGCAATTGGGGAAGATGGTGTTGATTCAAAAAGTCATATTTGCCCTTAAGAACTATGTCACCCACTAGGGGTGGCATTTTAGACCCAAAAACTGCAAAAATCAACTGAAAATTTACCGCAATGGAACCGCAATCGCGGAAAATCGAACCACATTTGCAGTATGAAGAACCGAACAGCATTTCAGGTTGCGGTATTTGATTTTCAGAACTTGTGGTTACCGCAAACCGAGACTATATATATATATATTTTTTAAAATTGCATTTTGTAGATAGGATTGGTGCTCAAACAACACAAACGGGGTCATTTAAATTCACTCACCACCACCAACACTTGAGTCGTTTGGCAATGGCCATGACACAGCAACTGGCAGTAGTCATTTGGCAGTGGTATGAGATAGCAATTGGGGAAGATGGTGTTGATTCAAAAAGTCATATTTGCCCTTAAGAACTATGTCACCCACTAGGGGTGGCATTTTAGACCCAAAAACTGCAAAAATCAACTGAAAATTTACCGCAATGGAACCGCAATCGCGGGAAATCGAACCACATTTGCAGTATGAAGAACCGAACCGCATTTGAGGTTGCGGTTGCGGTATTTGATTTTCAGAACTTGTGGTTACCGCAAACCAAGACTATATATATATTTTTTTAAATTGCATTTTGTAGATAGCATTGGTGCTCAAACAACACAAACGGGGTCATTTAAATTCACTCACCACCACCAACACTTGAGTCGTTTGGCAATGGCCATGACACAGCAACTGGCAGTTGTCATTTGGCAGTGGTATGAGATAGCAATTGGGGAAGATGGTGTTGATTCAAAAAGTCATATTTGCCCTTAAGAACTATGTCACCCACTAGGGGTGGCATTTTAGACCCAAAAACTGCAAAAATCAACTGAAAATTTACCGCAATGGAACCGCAATCGCGGGAAATCGAACCACATTTGCAGTATGAAGAACTGAACCGCATTTGAGGTTGCGGTTGCGGTATTTGATTTTCAGAACTTGTGGTTACCGCAAACCAAGACTATATATATATATATATTTTTAAATTGCATTTTGTAGATAGCATTGGTGCTCAAACAACACAAACGGGGTCATTTAAATTCACTCACCATCACCAACACTTGAGTTTGTAACATTGGTGCATTGCATTTTCCTTTTAGTTTATAACTTTAATTAACTTTGAATTGGATTTTTCCTTTAAGTTGTAACTTTAATTCATTTTGCATTGCATTTTCTTTTTGGTTTGTAACTTTAAAGGATTTGGAATTGGAATGCTTGAGAAGTTGAGCTTGTGAATGCTTGAGAAGTTTAACTTTAGTTGGAATGCTTGGAATTGTAACTTTAATTTTCTTTAGGTTGTGAATGCTTGAGAAGTTGAGGAGGTTGTAAATTTATATATGCTTGAGAAGTTAAGGTTATGAATTTATTTATTTAGGTTGTGAATTTATATTTTTGAATTAAAGTATGCTTGAACTCAAAAGGCTTCAAAAGAAGCATCAAAATTAGGCCTAAAATGTGGAAGATTGGATTTTTATGACACAAAAAGAACTTGCGGTTTTAAACCGCTAATTCACGGTAACTGACCGCTTTTTGCGGTTTACCGCATTGGTAAACCGCAAAAAGCGGTCAGTTTGTGGTTTCAAAAATCACCATACCGCAAATAATCGGTCGGTTTGCGGTTTGGGCAAAAATTCGCGGTTACCGAACCGCAACTACCCCTATCACCCACCATGTACATGATCAATTTTGACAGAAAACTAGACGGATTTAACGAAATAAACGAACGGTGCAATATTTGACTTAATTTGAGGATGACAACAATCAGTGGCGGTTCCAGGATTAAAAAGCCAGTTGGGCAAAACTTATATATTAAACTCGACGGTACGAGTGAATTTCCTTAATAAACATAAAAAGATACACCTAATCAGGGGAGACATAATGAGCATTACCTTCAAATGCATCTTTATCCATAAATAAAAATTCAACAAATACAAAATCTAAAACTAAAACCAAAAGTAAATTCAACACAATACAAAACAACACTATTTAAATCTAAAATTTAACCTTATAAGGCTTGGAACTCTTAAATTATGCAATTATCGATAATGGGAGACTCAAGAAGATTTTTCTCATCACATATTGGAGTAAATAAAGAAGTGCTAGAAGGCAATGTACTAGATGATGACCCATTATTCTTTTTCTTAAAAAAAGACAACAAATTCTTTGTTATCTTGGGATTCCGATTGTGATCTGACATAATAAAAGATAGCCTATGAATTAGAAAGAATTTTAATCAAACATACCAACAAAAAATCAAACAAATTCTCATAATAGCATCTCAACAAAACCAAACAAAAAATTATAATTCATCCATAATTAAACCCTAGAATACTCAATTTTAACAAAATCTCAAATCAAAGCTTTAGAATAATTCATCCCTAATCAAAGCCCTAATTAATTTCAACAAAATCTCAAAATTATAATTCATCCCTAATTAAACCCTTGTTTTATTTAACATCTCTTGAGCTAAATCCGCCGTCTCTTAATTTCTCTTGGTTATAATTTCAGTTTTAGTTTTACAATTATGGGGAACTAACTTCCTAAGGGCAAGTGGAGTATATGTATAGCTTAGTTGGTTGAACTCTTTCACATCCAACTATGTGGGCAGAGGTTCGAAACCCTCAGACATCCGATGAATATTGTGTATAACACCCCCCCCCCCCCCCCCCCCCAAAATTAGGGATGACAATGGGTCGAATCGGGGGTGAGTATATCATTCACATCCCCATTCCAATCATTTTTCCCTCATTCCCGCCTTCCTACCCACAATATTCAAATTGGGGATTCTTCATCTCCGCTTTCATTGGAGAACAGGTTCTTTGACCCATCCCATTATGAAAAAAAAAATTCAATAAAATACTACTTTGTTGAATGAGAAAAAGACACTATGAGCATGTACATATATCAATTCAGTTTTTATTAACTAGAAATCTACACTATGTAAAAATAATAATTATACATGTCGAAGATATCATCATCATTATAAAAGTAGCACAACCATACCGTTAAGATGATTAAAAAAAATGTCTACCTTTAAGATGATTAAAAAAAAATACTCTACCTTTAAGATGATTAAAAAAAGCCTTTTTTGTTTTATTTTTCTCATTATCATTAAATATTTAAACACGTATATCTAAAGGATCAATTTGTTATGTCCAAAACAAAGCGACAACAAACAAGGGGGGCGGGGTAAAGCCGAACGCATAACAAGCCCCAAATTAACTTAAACAAAAGTCTGACAAAGGAAAAACAAATTTTATTTTCAACTAATATTACTTTTTGAACAAAATTTTGAGGGGAGAATTATTAGAACAATCAACTTTCGACGAATATTATGTTTTGATATTTTTAGCCAATGGTACAGGCTGATTATGCTCAAATTACTTCTAGGCCCGTTTGGTTCACGGAACGAATTTGAGGGGAAATAATTTCCCATGTCATTTTTCAAGGGATGAGAAATGGAAGATTCATTTCACATGTTTGGTAATGCTGGGAAAGTAACCCGAAGATATCACTTTATTTCCTTTCCCGTGTTTGTTTTGAGTAAGAATGGAAAACAAAGTTTGTATAAATTTCCAATTATACCCATATTAAATCAAATAAAAAAAGAATGCATTTAATGATATATTGTAATTCTAAATTGTTAATGAGGACAAAATGGTCATGAAAAATGTTTATTTAATATTGGCTCATTTTCCCAAATTTTCCTATGATGAGGGAAAACAAAACCCAAGTTAGGAGGATGACTTCACTTTCCCTCCTACTTTCCCACGGGCCAGACAATGATTTCTCATGCCTGGAATTACCAAACATGAGAAAAAAATTGATTTCCCATTAACCAAACGAGGCTATAGGAATTTAAAAAGAGTTTTAAACAATCTTTAATGGAATGCCATTTTTTTATAAAAATAAGGATCATATTAGTATGGATTACATGTTTTAGTTGAATGTGGAATCCCAATGCCTTCGGATCTGTTTGGTTATCAAATTGAACTTCTTTGGAATAAACTTCCCATGTCTAATCCCACGAGATGAGAACGGAGGATTTCCATTTCCTTTACTTAAATCTTGTTAAAATTTCTACATTTTCATAATTGTTCTCTAGAAAACCTGTGTTCTTTATTTATACTCACTGTGGATCGACTGTAAACATATGAGTTATACTGCTTCATAAACCTGCACTTGACTTTGAGCAAGCATATACAAACAATCCTTTTCAAGTATCAAAATAAATTGAGGAAATAAAACATAAAAAATTGAAGACATTGTCCGCTCACCATGACAATTAAAGCAAAACCATGATTGTTTTTTCACTCTCCCTCCAAGCTCTCTAATATTTTTGTATGTGTTATATTCAAGGAGATTTAGAAGCAGTAGCTTCTTTCACCCACACTGGAATAAGTGTCGGATGTGCACGTTGCCAGTACGGTGGTGGAGACCCATCTATGGTAGAATAGAAGGGATCAGGGTAGAGAAGGATTCTTGGATTGATTTTGTGACTTGTTGGCTTTTGGTTAACCCCTTCATTATCTTAATTTAATTTCTTAGTAAGTTAATGATTTTTGACATGCTGGAAATTTGGTAATGAAAGTGACAATGATGTGTTTTAGGACTTAATTTTGGTGCATAATTAGTGTTCCTACCATTACTCGGTTAATTATTACTCATCCATTTACTTATTTTTCTATATAAATCCCACGCAATTGCAATATTGCAGGAAAAGTTAGTCATGGCAATGATGCAATTAGGCTCTTTTCTCTTTTGTGTGGTGCTACTCTTTGGCTCTGCATTCACAAATAGCAAAGCTGCTGTTAATACTGATCCGCAACTACGCCCCATTTGTGAGCGCCTCGACAATAGGAAAAGTTTCGATGATCTCGAACTAGGGTTCATATTTGGGACAGCCTCAGCAACTTACCAGGTCATTAATTTATGTTTTTTTTAATGTAACCATACACTTAGGCTTAATTTAATTTCAATATGTCACGAATGATCAATTCGCTTCCACGTGCATGAATATTGAAATCTTCAGTCTCTATGTACATTTCAGTGCGCTGGTGCTGTAAAAGCCGATGGAAGAGGACCAAGCATATGGGATAACTACACCCACAGCCATCCAGGTCTGTGTAATAAGATAACTTCAAAATTATTACCGAAGGGAAGCTGTAATTTTGATTTGGGGTTCTTTGTGCTTAATGAGATTCCTAGCTAGGTTGAAGCTGCCTTTGATGATGATTTGTTCAGAGTTCCTAGAACTCCTATTGTCTCTGTCATTTAGTTTTTGTGTGTTTAAGGGTTAATCCTCCATTTCAACCCCAAAAAAAAAACTTCAAAATTTATTTATTTATCTTTTTAACTCTACTCAACTTAACCTGGATTTAAATATTTAGGAGATCCAGCTCTAATACTGTGAATGATATGATTTTCGGGATCTTTATGCTCAAAATAATTTAAAAAATTTACGTATATTTGCAGAAAGAATCAAGGATGGCAGTAATGGAGATATCGCTGTTGATCAATATCACCAATACAAGGTTCTAAAACCATAGAATTTTATTCTCTGAACCTTCTTTACTTGAAATTGCAGGGCAAAACATACTAAATTTTGAAGACGAGATATCCTTAATTTTTAGCTTAGTTCTTATAATTATTTATATATATATATAGGGTGATGTGGCGATAATGAAAAATATATCGGTGGATGCTTATAGAATGTCTATATCATGGTCAAGAGTGTTGCCAAGTAAGTTGATTTACTCTCAATATTGTACATAACAATTCTTTTTTCTTTTTTTTTCTTACAACTGACTTGCAACCTTTATGTTTTGAGTTGTGATAATAACTCTCGGTTGTCTTTTGTATAATAACCAGTGTTTTGTTCCCAATTAATGCTTAACTAAAAGAACTGTATCAAATTAAATTAGTCGAATTTTAAGGCCAATAATATATAGCTTAAATTTTTTGTTTATTTTAATTTATGTTTGTAGATCGAGTTATTTTCCTATTTGTTGTATTTTATTTTAATTATTAGATGGAACGCTAAGTGGGGGCGTGAATATGGCTGGGATCAACTATTACAACAGTTTTATCGATGAACTCATAAATAGCAGTGAGTAGTCATCTCATTTTACATGACCGATACTTAAAGCTCTTATCATTTAATCAAAGATTTAATTTTCTTTTACTCATCATATATATATATACACACACGCACACACTCGCATATATACAGGTATAACACCATTTGTGACAATCTTCCATTGGGATCTTCCCCAAGCTCTAAATGACTCATATGGTGGTTTCTTAAGCCCTAAAGTTGTGTAAGTGAACAAATTCTATCCTCAGTACATGGTAATGATCAGTTAATGAAATACATATTACAGTAACATCTACATCTTGAATTGTGCATACTATACACAGCGATGATTATTTAGCATTTGCAAAACTTTGTTTTGAGAACTTTGGCGATCGAGTAAAACACTGGATCACGTTGAATGAGCCATATACCGTTAGTCACCATGGCTATGCAGTCGGGTGCCATGCACCAGGGCGATGCTCTGCTTGGCAAAAATTAAACTGCACTGGTGGAGATTCGGGCATTGAACCATATTTAGTGACACACCACCAACTTCTTGCACATGCAGCCGCTGTAAAATTGTATAAAGATGAATATCAGGTCTAATTAATTACTTTTTTTGTCTTATTTGCAGTCCCAACTAAGAATCCTATCTAAGTCACTCTACATTAACAAAAATTCTTGAATTTTCTTACGTAGGCATATCAAAATGGCTCGATAGGAATAACATTGGTGTCGCATTGGTTTGAGCCCGCTTCAAATTCAACAAAAGATAAAAGTGCTGCAAATCGATCTCTGGATTTTATGTTCGGATGGCAAGTATATTGTTAATTTATTTATCTACGTACTCAATTACATGTTTTATTTATGAATTTATGTATTTTGTAGGTTTATGGACCCATTAACATACGGTGATTATCCGCATAGCATGCGGTCAATTGTTAAAGAACGATTACCAAAATTCACAGATGAAGAATCCAAGTTACTAAAAGGGTCATATGATTTTATTGGAATAAATTACTATTCTGCTAGATATGCAAGTAATGGAGATGAATTTGTTTCTGCATATCATGATAGCTACTTAACAGATCCTCACGTTAATGTTACAAGTGAGTTCAAAGTGCAAAATTTACTTCGAGCAGTGAATTAAGTTATTAGAAAAGTTATATTCTAATATTCACATACGTATATGTTTTGGCAGCTGAGCTTAATGGGGTCCCTATTGTAAAGATATCAACGGTCCTCACTCTGCCACATGTCAGAAGATTGAAGAAGAGAGTTGTTGAAATATTGTTAAGACTGTTAGACAGTTTTTAGCAAAAGAGTTAGTGTTCTGTTAAAGAAGTTAGAGAGGTTAGGAGGTTAGAAACATATATACAAAGCTTTGATAAGCTAATATAAAAACCATCACTGTACTGTGTTGAAATATCAATGAATGAATACATCAGTTCTTCTCCTAAGATTTTCTGCTTCTCTCTGTTAAATCTCTGTTCAATATTGCTATTCTGACATGGTATCAAGAGCCATAGTACGATCCTGAGCTTCTTTGCTTCCGCATTCCTCTTCTTTGCTTACAATCTCTGTTCTTCTGTCTGTATCTTCTCCTCTCTTCTTCTTTGTTAAAATTCTCGGGTTTCTTTCTCTCTTCTTTCTCACTACTTTTGTAGTCTTTTGCTCTGCCTACCAGCTGTTTGTTCTTTTGCCTCACAGAATCTTCTGCTTGTTCTATTGCCTATTTCTTTTCTTCTCAAGATATTATCTCCCTAAATACTCATCATGGTGACTGCTACTCAACTTCAGATTATTCAATCTCCAATTACTACCTTAATTCCCACTGTCTCTGCTTCTGTGACAGTTAAGCTTGATGATACAAATTACCTCACATGGAATTTTCAGATGCAGCTTCTTCTTGAAGGTCATGGCTTATTGGGGTTTGTTGATGGTTCACGGCTGTGTCCTGCTCGTTTTGATGAAAATTCTGATGTTGAAGGTGTACAAACTGATGCTTATACAGTGTGGAAAATGCATGATCGTGCCTTGATGCAATTGCTAACTGCAACTCTTTCTTCTACTGCAATCTCATATGTCATCGGGTGTACTAGTTCTCATGATATGTGGGTTCAGTTGAAGGACAGATTTTCTACTGTTACCAAAGCTAGGATTTTTCAGATGAAAAGTGAGCTTCAGAATATCAAGAAGGGTGCTGAACCAGTCTCTCAATACTTGCAAAAGATAAAGGATGCTAGAGATCATCTTGCTGCTGCTGGGGTTTCCTTTGATGATGATGATATTGTGATCTTGGCTCTTAATGGTCTTCCCCTAGAATATAATACGTTTCGGTGTATGGTTCGAGGCAGGGAAAATGTGCTCTCTCTCAAAGATTTTAGATCTCAGTTGCTTGCTGAAGAGGCCATTCTTGAACATACTACCTCTGCCACTCCTTTTGCCTCTGCGATGATGGCGAACAATCAATCATTCAAAGGAAAATCTCTTGTTCTTGCTGACACTTCCACATCTATCCCATCTTCTATTTCATCTAGCCACAATGGTGGTGTCAATAGTGGTGTCAATGGAGGTTTCCACTCTAGCTCTAATGGTGGCTCTTTTTCACATAATGGTGGTTTCCACTCTGGCCCTAATAGAGGTTCCTTCTATCGAGAAAGAGGCAGACCTCGGCATCAGTTTTCATCTGGTCCAAGACCATATCAAGCTCCACCTAATTCTGGTCCTGGCATCCTTGGTTCGGGTACTGATATTCCAATTTGTCAAATATGCAACAAGAAAGGTCATCTAGCTGCTGATTGTTATCAACGACATCAGCAATTCACAGGTCCTAATTCATCTGTTCAATGCCAAATTTGTTGGAAATATGGCCACACCGCTATTCAGTGTTACCACAGGGGCAATTTTTCCTATCAAGGCAAACCTCCTTCATCCAATCTTACTGCAATGCATGCCAATTGTTCTCCTTCCTCATCAACTGAGCAATTTTGGGTAGCTGACACTGGAGCAACAGCCCATATGACTTCTGATTTGTCTCAACTTAGTCTTGCTACCCCTTTCTCTGGAAATGAGACAATCACCACTGCAGGGGGTTCAGGTTTGAATATTTCTAGTGTTGGCTCTTCTTCCTTGAATACTCCTCAGTGTTCTTTACAATTATCGAAAGTTTTACATGTGCCAAAGATATCTCAACATTTGCTTTCAGTGCATCGGTTATGTAAAGATAATAACTGCAGATTTATATGTGATGCCTTTGGCTTTTGGATTCAGGACAAACTCACAGGGAGTGTTCTTCTCAAGGGACTGTGTAGAGCTGGCCTATATTCTATTCCTTTCTTTCCTTCACAACCTCATCATACTCCAGCTGCTTCTCTCATCAAACAACATTTCTGCTTTCTTGGCCATCCAGTAAATACCAGTTTGTGGCACAAGCGATTTGGTCATCCCTCCAATATTATTACTACTGCTCTTTTACGTCAATCACAGGTTCCTTTTTCTTCAGACAAAGTCCAATCTGTCTGTCATCATTGTTTAGAAGGCAAACTAGCTAAACTTCCTTTTCATTATCCAGCAGCAAAATCTGTAAACCCTTTAGAAGTGATTCATAGTGATGTGTGGGGTCCTTCTCCAACAATATCTGTTGAGGGGTTCAAATATTATGTTAGCTTTGTAGATGAGTGTACTCGATTTACTTGGATCTTTCCAATGTTCAATAAAGCAGAAGTTTACTCTATTTTTGTAAATTTTCATGCTTATTTAGTCACTCAGTTCTCTGCTTCTCTTAAAGTCTTTCAAAGTGATGGAGGTGGTGAGTATCTTAGTCATAAATTTCAGCATTATCTTCTTGCTAGAGGTATCATTCATCATAAATCTTGTCCCTATACACCCGAACAAAATGGCTTAGCCGAGAGAAAACACAGACACATCTTAGAGACTGCTATCACTTTGTTGCAAACTGCTCATTTACCCCCAAAATTTTGGTTTCATGCTTGTGCTACTTCAGTCTACTTGATCAATAGAATGCCTTGTAAAACTCTTCATTTCAAATCTCCTTATTTCTTATTGTTTGGTTCTGCTCCAGCCATTAATCATCTAAGGGTATTTGGTTGTGCTTGCTTTCCTTTGCTCAAGCCTTATAATACAAACAAACTTCAGCCTAAAACTTCTACTTGTGTCTTTCTAGGCTATGCAGGACAATATAAAGGCTATATTTGTTTTTCTCTCACTACCAATAGACTGTTTGTTACTCGACATGTTCTTTTTGATGAAACTATGTTTCCATTCACATATGTCCATCCAGTCAGTATTTCTTCATCTCAGTCTCTCACTTCCTCTTCTCCTCCTCCATCTATTTCATTCACTAATACTGTCTTATCGCCTATCCCTTCTCTTTCTGTTTCCTCACCTTCCCCACCCATCTCTGAAGCCGCTGCACCTTTGAATGCTTCTCCTTCTGCTACACAGTCTCCTCTCCCTGTGGATCCTGATTTTCAGCCTGAAAGTCTTCGTGTTATCTTGCCTCTGCCACCTGTAAATCTGCATCCTATGACAACACGGTCTAAGAATGGCATCTCCAAGAGGAAGGCTTTTTCTGCTTCTTCATCTGTTGATTTATCTACAATTGAGCCAAGTTCCTTCAAGGCTGCCTCTCAATCACCAGAATGGCAATCTGCAATGAGGGAGGAAATTGAGGCTCTTCATGCTCAAGGTACTTGGGATTTGGTTCCTCTCCCAGCTCATAAGAATCTTGTTGGTTGTAAATGGGTTTATAGGATCAAGAAGAATGCAGATGGTTCTATAGCTAGGCATAAGGCTCGCTTGGTTGCTAAGGGATTTAGTCAAGAGGAGGGTATTGATTATTATGAGACCTTCAGTCCGGTAGTTAAACCAACCACGGTTCGATTAATTCTTGCTCTTGCTGCTCAGTTTCAGTGGTCCTTACGGCAGCTTGATGTTAAAAATGCATTCTTGCATGGGGTTCTTCAAGAGGAGGTTTATATGACACAACCTCAAGGCTTTGCGAGTAAGCATCATCCTTCTGACTTTGTTTGCAGACTCAAGAAGTCCTTGTATGGTTTAAAACAGGCTCCTCGTGCCTGGAACGAAAGGTTTACTAGCTTCTTACCAAGCTTGGGTTTTCAAGCTTCAAATGCAGATCCGTCTCTCTTTATTCAACATTCGTCGCTTGGTACTGTGGTTTTGCTTCTTTATGTTGATGATATCATTCTTACTGGCAGTAATTCCTCTCTTATTACATCTGTAATTGGTGCTTTAACTCAGGAGTTTGATATGAAGGATTTGGGTCAGTTGACTTATTTTCTGGGGCTGCAAATTTCATATCAGTCTGCTGGCTTGTTTGTGTCTCAAACTAAGTATATCAAGGAACTGCTTGACAGGGTTGATTTGCAGGATTCAAAACCATGTCCTACTCCTTGTCTCCCATATCACAGACTGTTGAAAGATGATGGCAAACCTTATTCTCATCCAGAGCAGTATCGAAGCATTGTTGGTGCTCTGCAGTACCTCACTTTCACAAGGCCAGATATTGCCTTCTCAGTGAATCAAGCTTGTCAATTTATGCATAATCCCATGGAGTCTCATGTTGTGGCAGTTAAGAGAATCCTGCGGTATTTGAAAGGAACTCTTGATTTTGGCATTTGGTTTAAGCCTGGTCTTCTTCATCTGCACGCTTATAGTGATGCTGACTGGGCTGGGGATCCTAATGATCGCAGATCTGTTTCGGGATTTATTGTTTACTTAGGCTCTACTCCTATTTCTTGGGCTTCTAAGAAGCAACATACTGTCTCTCGTTCGTCCACTGAGGCTGAATATAGGGCTTTGGCTATTGCTGCTGCTGAACTTGCATGGATCAGACAGTTGTTCTGTGATCTGCACATCCCATTACATGTTCCTCCTTTAATTCATTGTGATAATATCTCCGCTATTGCTCTCTCTTCCAACCCGGTGTTTCATTCCCGAATGAAACATCTCCAAATTGATTATCATTTTGTCAGAGAACGAGTCATTCGAGGTGATTTACTTGTGCAACATGTCTCATCTGCGGAACAATTTGCTGACATTCTCACTAAGGGGCTGTCTATTCCTTTATTCCAGCATCATTGTTCCAATCTCATGCTTGGCTCCTCCAAGCATGAGATTGAGGGGGCATGTAAAGATATCAACGGTCCTCACTCTGCCACATGTCAGAAGATTGAAGAAGAGAGTTGTTGAAATATTGTTAAGACTGTTAGACAGTTTTTAGCAAAAGAGTTAGTGTTCTGTTAAAGAAGTTAGAGAGGTTAGGAGGTTAGAAACATATATACAAAGCTTTGATAAGCTAATATAAAAACCATCACTGTACTGTGTTGAAATATCAATGAATGAATACATCAGTTCTTCTCCTAAGATTTTCTGCTTCTCTCTGTTAAATCTCTGTTCAATATTGCTATTCTGACACCTATTGGTCCACAGGTGCACTTCAAATTATTAGCCTTTTTTTTCCCTTATACTATTAGCATTTGGAGGATTAATATTGTTCTCCACATCCAAATTAGTCCTAAAATCCCAATTATCTTTAAATTGGATTGCAGGCTGCTTCAGATTGGTTATATGTTTATCCAAAAGGAATTTACGATCTTCTAAACTACACGAAAAATAAGTACAATGATCCAATCATTTACATTACCGAGAATGGTAATTAATAGTTTTAAATTATCATTAATTTTATCATTAATTTTTCGCATATATATATATATAATGATATGAAATAATGTTAAGTGTTATAACGTCTAAATTTAAAACTAAATACATATGGTAATGCATTATATTGTAGGCGTTGATGAGCTCAATGATCCCAAAATACCGCTTGAGCAAGCCCTTAATGATACCAATAGAACTGACTTTTACTACCATCACCTTTGTTACCTTCACAAAGCCATGAGGTAAGTGCTTATATAAGAAATTAATTAAGGCAATCTAAGGTGTAGTCATCTTAGATTTTGGTTATTTAAACACTACATTGACATCAATACATTGAATTCTTCCCATTTTTTGGTGCAGTGAAGGTGCTAAGGTGAAAGGATATTTCGCATGGTCATTGGTAGACAACTTTGAATGGAATGATGGATACACGGTTCGTTTTGGTATCATCTATGTGGATTACGGGATTGGTACTGCTAATTATCTACGAAGGTATCTAAAAAGCTCAGCAGAGTGGTTCCAAAATTTCCTCAAGAAACGTCTTTATTGAAAAAGTACGAAAGTGATGAATATTTGTAGACAATAATGATGGGATACCAAAAGTGTGAATTCCAAATGTTGAATAAAAAGTACACCAGCTCCCCTGGAGTCGTATAATAAGTTGTAGCAACTCATTACGAGTTTGTGGTGAGGGCGATACCCTCTTCCTGTATTGTATTGGCCATAGTGGTCATTTGTATCTAAATAATAAATGCAATTCCTCTTGGTAATGATGAATAAAATGCAAAACTAAACTATGAAAAAGAGTTATTTACATTAACACCCCTCAGGTTTCTTGTATTTTCACAAAACTCCTCCAAGTCTCAAAAATTACACGAACATCACTTAAGGTTTCAATTTGTTTTCACAAAACCTCTTTTCGTTGATTGTTTGTCTAAAAATTAATAATTTCATTCAAAAAAACTTATGCAAATGACAAAATTAACCTTAATCAAGTATATGCAATTTGATCTCAAAGGCCAACTTTGTCATTTGGATAATTTTTTTTTGGGTATAAAATCATCAGTCTTTAGATGAAAAATCAATGAAAAGGAGTTTTGTGAAAACAATTTAAAACATTAGTGAGTGTTGTTATTATTTCTAAAACCTCAAGGAGTTTTGTGAAAAAAACCAAAGACCTCAGGGTGTGTTAGTGTAAAAAAACTCATGAAAAACTCTGTTATATTATACCCATTTGTAAATTGACTAAATACAAGTAAAAAATGGTTACAGAGAAAGAGAGTAAAAGTTTTGAATATAGCTTTTTCGTAATTTTGATTTACATAAAGATCAAAGTTGAAAAAACTATATCGTTTGAGCAAGAAATTCCAAAATAGATTCATCGGAAGGTAAGTGTAACATCGGAAATTACTCTCGTTTAGCTTCTTTATAACATCAGATTGCCGGGGTGAATAAATTAAGTTCATTTTCTCCAGGGCCTCGGCATGCTCGAGTAGGTACCTTGCAAACTCAATCCCATCGGACCCTTTGGTAAGCTTTATGGTAACCTACTCCAACTGATAAGTAAAATCCAGGTTTTGCAGCTTCCAGTATTCCATATCAAAGCCAGATGCCTGGACCTGGACCTGGAAAAGCAAGAAGAAAACAAGCAACTCAATTGAAATTTTCCAAAACCCAAAACAAAGTACACAGAAAGGAAATCTACATTACTTTTCTAGCATGATAATTATGCTCCTGATTCTTGAAACAATGTATATAATATATATATATATATATATAGAGAGAGAGAGAGAGAGAGAGAGAGAAAGACTTTGACTTACGTCATCGCATTTACGACTGTAAATAAGTGAATCATTCTTTATGTGTAAAGTACACAAATTGGGCATTCCTCTTAAAAGAGAGAGACCATTGATGGGACGAGATCGTCACTAATGCTCCGAGTATTCAGAGTCAAACGCCAAATATCATCGAATTGAGGTGGAATAGATCCTTCCCCGTACAGAGCCCGCAATGTTATAATGGTGAAACCTATATCATGTTTCTCAAATTACTTCTCATTCTTTTTAACAAAAACTTTAAGGCATAAATAATATTTTTTATAATAAATTTGGCTTACACCCTTCAAATTCAATTTGCCGTACCTAAAACCCTTCAATTTTTGTTCCTATAAATAATACCCAATTTGTATAAGTAAAAACCCATAACTAGGATTCAACTCAACAAGTTATCTAATTAAGCATAAAATCTGATTTATTGTACTTTTTAGATTCCAAAAATACCCCCAACTAAGCCATTATTGCATTTTATATATTAATGTAGGAATCAATATGGAAACAGTTTTTAATTGAATTGTATATAATGACAGATGTTGAATTTGGAAAGATCTCCAAATGGTTGTAATGGATGTAGGAATTAATTTTGAAACATTTTTTAAAAAAATTTAACAATAAATTCAAATTTGGGTAATCGGTTTGTTTAATAAAATGTTTATGTTATTTTCTTTTTATGAATTATACATGACTAATAATTCACTTTATAATTGTTTATGAATAAAACTATACATACTAATTATGTTGAAAAAATAATGTACCTATTACTTGTTTGTTTCATGAAAAATATAATTTACCTAGTATGAAAAGTGTACATAATTATCTATTCCAATATACCTACATTATACGACTTCCAATATACCTACATTAATTTTAATGTACTTACAATTAGGATTTAGGTATTATATGTCATCCAATGTACCTACCATTTAGATACATATACCTACTACGAATAAAGTACCTATTATTTATCTAAATAATGTACCTATTTTTTATCTAAATAATGTAATTTATTTTTTTTCTATAAATAATATAGCCTTTTTTCTCTGAATAAAGTACCTATTATTTGTTTTATTAAAAGTAATTTTTTTAAATGAACCTATTTTCTCTCTCCAAATAACTTACCTATTTTTTTCCTCTAATAATGTACCTATTTTTCATAGGTACATTATTGGATATGTAATTTATTGGATACCTATATTTTATATGTATATATTTATATTATAATTTTCATAAGTACATTATTGGATATGTAATTTACAGATTTTTTTTTGTTTGCAATTTTAGGGGGCGAGATGTGAGAGGGAATGACAACTATAAGAAATGGGGTGATTGATATGCTATTAATAGGGAGTATATTAATTACAATTATGACAGTTAATGAAATGCTTGAAATAAATTATAAATAAAATATGAAGTTTAGTGGCAACGATGTAAAAACATAGAAATACTACGACCTCTTATATTCTACTGGTCATTTAAATTTGAAATTGGGTTTTACACATAGATTTATAGAGTGATGGGTATATGTCTAGGAAATAGAAAATGTATGGATCTATATTGGACAAGCCTTATTTTTTATTCAAAGAAATGCCATCATGCAAAGTTCCAAACAATTCTGAAATGTAAGAAGCAAATATTTGCTACTCCTACTATCCCGAAGCAAGGAAAGCTTTACAAATTAGTTCAAACTGCTCTAGTTTTTGCAACAAAACAGAAATTGAGTCTAGCGGGATAGAGGGAACTGATTCTCTTTACCTTAATGGTTGCTTCATTTAGACCAAGAACTCCAACCCTGCGTACACTGCGAAGAGCCTCAAATACGTTTTCAAAGTCATCTACTTTAGGATCCAGAAAAATATAAGCTTCTTCCGAACATTCTAATTCTCCAAGGTTTGGGTGATTCATGACATTCCCAACCCAACGCAAAAAATTTAGATTTGGAGCAAAAATATTTAATGAGTGGTCAGCGGATAAAAAAAATCCCCAATCGATCCTTATGCTTTCAAGTTTCTCACCTGAGATTTTAAGATGGCAGATTTGAGACCCATAGGGATCATAAAAATTAAATCCCAAAGACAGGCTTTCAATGGCGATACTTGTTATATTTCGAACTCCGGCAACAGTTAATTGCTTGATGCATTTGCAGGAACATGAGATCCTCCATTTGAAAAACGCCTCATCTTCTATGTCAAGCTCCCCCAACTCCAAGCAACTGAGATTAGAGGAAAAGGCAATAATGATGCCCTTCATTTGCACCACATTTAGAGACCTCAACGATGTGGAAAGAAAGACGCAAGATGGAAATGCCAACCCTTCCTCCTCAAAATCACATAACAAGATGTCAAGACAAAGCACTTCAACATTACACCTCACTGCATTGTGGATCCATGTGGTGATTCGAAAATTCTCATTACTACATAAGTAGCATACTTTGTAATTGCCCTCCTCTATGTAGTGACCATCCCAAAAAAGGTAAAACGACTGTATCTTATTATCCCGACGATGAAACAAGAACCTATCCAATGTGTTCAACAACTTCACCCTAAGCTCACAAGTGGACGTATCCACCGATGAAAAACAAAAATTCAATGAGGGAGCTGACAGAGAAAGCTCCCTGCATCCTTTGGACCCACAACTGAAACGAGTGAGCTCTTCTATATCAAGGAACGAAAGAATGTGATGGGCAACTTCCAGTGGAAGATTACTGAATCTGTCCACCAGTCTCTCAGTATGAACTCTTTCACCTTCACAACTTGCAGTAGCCCTTAACTTATTCTTGTGTTCCATGAAGCTAAACTAACTTGTGGCTTTTGGGTTTTGCAAGACAAGTTGGGTTTTCAATTTATACTACAATTCAAGGGCAATTGAACACTAATACATTCAATAACTTGTGATGTTTAGATACTGAACCAAATGAAGAAAAGTAGTAACGAGTATGCTGAGTACGTACCAGTATGAGGGAGGGAAAGTTTTTCAACCTCTTTTTATCAGGAAAGTTTACAGCTTTAAAAGTAAGTAAATAAATAATTAGGAGATTCATTATTATACCTAATGTGATCCAAAGCCAAAGCCAAAGCCCATTTAGAACATAACAAATAGGCTTCGACCTTCCTATAAATTACAATACTACCATCAATTTCTTAAAACAAACCAAATCTCAAAACCTCATAAATAAAGCTTCAAACTTCCTATAAATTACAAAACTGTCATGAATTTCTTAAAACAAGTCCAATCTCAAAACCTCATAAAAAAACCCAAGACACCCAATAGGGCATCAAAGTAATTTAATAATCAAAATTAAATTCAATAGAGATAGTTGTCATTTTTATTTTTTTTTGGTTTATTTATAGAAATTAAATGGTGTAGAGTTTATCTATATTACTAATGCTAAGAATGGGTATATAACTAAGAGCTCGTTCGTTATCATTTTCTAACCCCGTTTTCTGTTTTCCGAGAATAAAAACAACCAAAAATGCATTCGGTGCAATTAAGTTAGAAAACACGGAAAACGAAGAATTGAAAACGATCTCAACTTTCTTCATAAAACGAGAAAACAACTTTTAGACGTTTTCATCATTTTCAGAGGGAAGTGAAAACAGGGGAAATAGTTTCGGCTAGAACAAGACATCATCGTGCTCTATTCCATTCTTACCTTTCTCAAATCCTAGACCCAAAAATTAAACACCCCACTGTCTCTTCCTTTCTCTCTTTGCCTTCTTTTGTGAGACCTACTCCGACTTCAAGGCCACAGCCTTCACCACAATCAGATCCTTGGCTTGAATCAAACTCGTCAATGCCATAGCCTCCGCTACAGCCTCCCTCCACCATCACCACCCAATCACTCGAACCGTAACAGCCACCAGCGACCCAATTGAACAAATCGAGAGTGATAGTTATTGTGGTGGTTTGAATTATGTGTTTCAGTGTGATTTTGTTGCTGTTTTCACATGGGTTATATAAACCCAAGCAACACCAGCACTCATGGGAGGAGAGGATGTATGAAGAGATATGAGAGAGTGAGAGTGAAAAAGAGGAGAGTTGGGTGGTGGGGAGTCTCTGAGTTGGAAAAGTCGAGAAGGAGGAAAGAAAAGTGTGCTAACAATAGTTTCAGATAATTTTAGGTTTTTTTTTGTTATAATCAACATTAAAAATATTAATGAAAAAATAAAAGTTGAAAAGAAATGACACTTCATTGTTTATTTTATTCTCATATCCTACTAGAAGAAGTTCTTTACTCAATAATCTGCATTTATTTTGGGGGAAAAAATTTTGTATGTATAAAAAACTATTCTTAGATGCATACTTGTTCAGTTTATCAATTAACCAACAAAATTCAACTTTTAAATTTATCATTTTCACTTATTATTAAAGATAATTCTAGGTTTTTCTAACATTAGAATTTTATTATTTTGTAATTATTCTTTTTAGAACATACATTATCAAAAATATACTTGAAAAATAGTTCACATATTATTATTCTCAAATTGTACTACCAGACACGTTTTCACTGTTTTTATTTTCTGAATATGTTTTCTAATTAATCTACCAGACGCATTCTTGAATCCTGAAAATGCAAATTTGTTTTCTCGTTTTCATTCTTTGAAAATATTTTCTAAAAACATTCTCTGAAAACGTTACCAGACGGGCCCTAATATTTTTAAAGTAAATTTAGGGGAAAGCTTTTTTCGTTACTTATTTGTAGAAACAAAATTTTTAATGTAGATTTCTTCTTTCATTACTTGTTTGTATTCTATTAATTTTCGTTTCTCAAATTATTAATTTTTGTTCCTTGCAAGACAATTTAGATTTGAGACTGAAGTAAATTGCAAGGAGATATTATCTCAGAAATATTACAGAAATATCCTTTCAAGGTACACAGAGTCTTGTAAAAATATCAAAGATTATTCGTTCCTCCGAATGATAATTGTGGCAGTAGAAATCATCTTGATCCTGCTCACCATCTCTGCAGCTTTTGATTGGTCATCTTCGCAGCCAAGAAAAATGACAATTTTCTTCAAATTTTGAGCATTCTCAAGGATATACGTTGAAAACTCGTCGGAATACTGTATGGTTACTTCTTTAAGCTGATGCAGGAAAGCAAGGTTTTGCAGTTTCCAATATTCCGTACCAAAGCCACTTGACTGAAAATATACAAAAGGCAACAAACATACAAGCAAATTAATTAATAAAAAACTTGCCAAATTTACCGCAAGCTGTGTGAGCGTGAGAGGGAGATCAATAGGCAACATAGACTTCACTTACTGGTTTGGCATTCAAAATCCATCTCCCAGTCCTTATGGACAAACTATTCAAATTATATTTATTTCTGTAGTTTCAAGCTTCTCACAAGAGATATTAAGATGCAGGTCACGAAAAATCGAAACATGAAGGTGTTCTAAAGACGAACTTTCAATGCTGATATTCTGTGTTCCTCTAATAAAATACAGATCTAACTTCTTGATGCATTTGCAAGAACATGAGATCCATTGGAAAAAACCTCTCGTCTAAATTAACATTAACCAGTTTCAAGTAATAGATATTTGAGGAAAAAGGTAGGGAAGGCACTTCCAAAATCTGCCTAGCCAAATTCACTGACAAAGAGCGCAAATATTGAGAAAGGAAGACACAAAATGGCAACGAAAATCCATCCACCAGGTAGATAAGAAGATCAAGATCTTCAACATGACACCTTACTGCATTCCTAATCCACATATTTAATCAAAGATGTTCATTTGAAAGCTCCTCTACAATGACAAGTTTTCGAAAGAAAATTGTACAATTAGACATCAATCTAACTTGAAATCAGAGCTTTCGAAAAATCGTATGTTCTGCAAACAAATCACTTAGAGGTGGTGGCCGCAATATTCCTTGGGTAGAAATTGGCTCTTTTCTCTGCTGAGCAATTTTCAATAGTTAAAAATTGGTCTTTAGAAAGAGTTGCATACCTATTATTGTTGATGCGCTTAAGTTGTCTTGACCTAGCTTGACCTAGAAATTAAGAAGCTTCACTTTTGGGCCCAATTTATAAGAAAACTCATCCAAAGCCCATTTACAACACAACAAATATGTCTCCAAAATCTTAATATTGGTGCTGACATGGAATATGCAAGGAAAAGATGAACATAATCATCATTAGTTTGGATGTTCGAAATTTTGGGTCATTTTTTAGGCATTCTTCGGAGCACAGAGAGATTTGATCAAGTTGAACAGTCGTGTTACATGATTCTTCAAGGCATTTGTAATTTTTCCTTGCTCTTCTTTTGTATATTTTAGATTTAGTTGTATGAAACAAATAAGTTATTCATTTTGAAAGATTTAGTGTCATTCATTAATTTCTTTCTATCATGTCAAAGATTGTCTCTCCTAAGGCTAATGAATGACCTCAACCCTTTATCCCAATTTGTAGCTCACCACAATATTAGTATATGTAGAAGAATTTTGTATTGGGTAACTCTTAACCACAGTATATCAATTACCACCAACTCACACTCAGAGTGTGCTGCAAAATACGACAAAATAATAGGCAAAACAGCTATGTCATAAATGTTGGAATATTAGGTACTGATTTAGATTTTAGGGAGAAGAAGGAAGGAGATGAAAGAAGGAGCTGGAAAAATTGTTTATGAAAAATCGTATAAGTTGCTGTGCTAATAGCTCAGCTATTTCTCTTCTTTTTATCGAACGATTTACATAAGGAAATGTACAAAATGATCTGCCAATGTGTGTATGACACTTGGCTCTTTCCTATAGGTATTTCAGCCACAAAATCTCAACCATTCAAGTGATCTAAGCTATAACTTAGTCACCACCAGCTATAATAGTAATAGTAAATTAGTAACAAACAATTTACACATCAACACTCCCTTCTAAATGTTTTACTGATTTTACTCCAAGTAACTCCCTTAGACAGCAAAACCTTTCTCTTGTCAATGCCTTTGTGAAGAAGTCTGCAATTTGATCTTGACATCTGCAATATATCATACCTGCCACTCCTTCTTGAATTGCATCTCTGATAAAATGAAACTTTCTTCCTATGTGCTTTGATCTTTGATGGAACACCGGATTTTTAGACATAGCTATAGCAGAAGTATTGTCACACATAATTGGTGTAGCTTCTAGTTGCTCCTCTCTAAAATCACACAGCACAAATCTTAGCCAGATTTCCTGAGTTGTTGCTTCAACATCACTTACATATTCAGCCTCTGCAGTTGATAAAGCAACACTACTTTGCTTCACTGAGGCCCAAGAAAATGCACCACTGCCAAATGAAAAAGCATACCCAAATGTGCTTTTCATATCATCCTCTGAACCACTCCAATCACTGTCACAAAATCCAATCAACATAGCTGATTTTCCAGACTCATATTGATCAATACCAAAGTCCAGAGTTCTTTGTACATACCTCAATATTCTTCTTGTAGCTCCAAAATGCTTCTTTGAAGGACCATACATAAATCTAGCAAGCAAACTAGCTGATTACATGATGTCAGGCTTAGTTGCTATTAGATACAGTAAGCTCCCAACTATTTTCCTGTAGGTCTCCTCATCTGCAAGTTCACATTCATCTTCTCTTTTAAGCTTTTCAGTTGGAACCAATGCAGTCCTTCAAGCCAAATTTATTCAACAGAGTCTTGGCATATTTCTGTTGGTGAATGAAAATTCTCCTTTCTTTCTGGATTACTCCCATTCCAAGGAAGTGATGCAACAAGCCAAGATTAGTCATCTCATACTTGTTCATCATATCATCCTTGAACTTTTTCAACATCTCATTGCAACTTCCAGTGTAAACAATATCATCTACATATATTGACACAATAACTGTACTCATACCTTCTTTGATCTTCACATATAATGTAGCTTCACTTATGCTTCTTTGAAATTCACACTTGAGTGGATGAGTGTCAATTTCACCATACCCCTTGGTACTTGCTTCAAGCCATAGAGAGCCTTTCTTAACTTATAGACTTTATCTTTTGCACCCTTAACTTCAAATCCTTCAGGTTGCTCAATGTAGACTTCCTCTTTCAACACTCCATTTAGAAATGCTGATTTCACATCCAATTGGAAAAGTTTCCAATTTTTTTGAGTTGCCAGTGCAATGAGGGTTCTAATTATATCCAACCTTGCTACTAGGGCAAAGGTTTCATTGAAATCAACCTCAGGCTTCTGTGTGTATCCCTTAGCTACAAGCCTTGTCTTGTGTTTTTGGATAGAACCATCAAGATTCAGCTTTGTCTTGAAAATCCATCTCACACTCACAACTGGTTTGTTACCAGGTCTTTCAACCATCTCCCATGTAGAATTCTTTTCTAGCATTGAGATCTCTTCCCTCATAACTTGATTCCATGCCTCATCTTGAGTTGCTTCAGCAAAGCTTTCAGGTTCCACAATACTTACTTTATACTATGCAAAAACTTCATTTAAGCTCTTCCACTTCAAGGATGTGTGATCATAGGGCTCAAATGTTTCAATTTCATTTGGTCTTGGTGAAGCTTGTCTCCTCTCTTGGGTTGAGGTAGTGATGATCAGACACTTGGTGATTCTAGAGTTTGATTAGGTGATTCAAACTCCTCCTCACCTTCAGTTATTCTTGATTCCTCACTACTATCCCAAGGAATTGACACCTGCAACTCGTCATTTGCTTCCCAATTCCACAGAGTTTTCCCATCAAATATCACACGCCTTGACACTATTACTTTCTGAGTTCTCATATTAAACACCCTATACCCTTTCTCACAAGTTTCATACCCAACAAAGACTCCATTCTTACCAGTTTCTTCTAGTTTATGCATCAGCTGGGATGGAATATGAGTATAGCAAAGAGAACCAAATATTCTCAAATGCTTTACTCTAGGTTTTCTTCCACTGAATGCTTCAAAAAGGGTTTTATTCTTGAGAGCACTTATAGGGCACCTATTGAGAATATAGACTGTAGTGTTAACTGCTTCTCCCCAAAATTTAATTGACATTCTCTTTTCATAAAGCATTGTCCTAGCCATATCCACAATGGTCTTATTCTTCCTCTATGCAACTCCATTTTGTTGAGGAGAATAAGCCACTGTTAATTACCTTTCAAGCCCAAGTCTTCACAAAACTTACTGAATTCAGTTGAAGTGTATTCACCTCCTCTGCCTGTTCTTAACTTCTTGATCTGAAACCCACTTTGCAAATCCACCATGGCCTTGAATATTTTGAATACTGAAAATACACTTGATTTGTGTTGCAAGAAGAACATCCAACACATCCTTGTATGATCATCAATGAATGTAAGGAAATATCTATTTCCTCCAATTATAGTGACATGCATCGGGCCACACACATCTGAGTGAACCAACTCCAATGTTTGTTAAGCTCTCCACACTTCATTTTTGTCAAATGCTTCTCTATGAACTTTACTCATAGCACACCCTTCACACACATCTTTAAACTTCTCCAATCTAAGGATTCTAAGCACCATTTATCTATCTTGTAGCATCTTCACCCCAACATGGTTTAAATGACCAAATCTTCTATGTCATTTCCATGAGTGATCCTCAACTGTTACTCTATTTGCCATCACAGTGTTCATGAATTCAAACTTCATAGGAAAACACCTATTTCCTTTCATTGGAACACTAGCAACCAGCTCTTTCAATTCTCTGTCAGCATATATATTCACCATAAAGTCACTAAACAACAACCAATAGCCATGTTCAACCATTTGCCCAACACTTAGAAGATTTTCATCTAAGCCTGGCACTATCATCACCTATTGTATATACCTAAGACCATCCTTCAGCTCAATAACAAGTGTCATTTTCCAGAAGCTTGAACTAATTCCCATGTTCCCATCTTCACTTAGCACTTCACACTTCACACTTCTATCAATGTTATAAAGCAATGATTCATGAGATGTCGCGTGGTTATTGCACCCACTATCAACATACCAAACACCCATGTGAGTTGGTTTTGCAGGTGAGTAAGAGGCATATAACATGTTTGTTGTCTCTAGTGCTTGATTTTCTGCAAAATGTGCAACTAGTCTAGGCTTGTTCAAGCAATATGACCAAACTTGCTGCATTGGTGACACTTGACTTTATCCTTGAACCAACATTCACCGTAATACAACTTGTTATAGTGCTTACAGGTTCCTTTGTTCTAATCATTCTTGTTAGATTGATCACTCATCTAGTTTTCATTCTTCCAGTTTTGCTTTCCACCCGAATTGGGTTTCTCCTCCCACTTCTTTCCATTACTCTTCCAATTCTTCTTGGACTGACCACTACCTGAAGAGGATGAGGAATTGGCTTCCTTCACAATCATACTAGCAAATGCCTTCTCTACAATATTCTCAGAATGCCTCTCAAGCCTTTGCTCTGAACGCTTTCAAGGTTGCCACAACTTCCTACACTTCTATTGCATCTAGATCCCTGGTCTGCTCAATGACCGTGCAAATAGGGTCATAAGTCTTGGTAAGACTTATCAATAATTTCTACACTATTCTGTTCTTCGATAACTCTCCTTCAGAATTTGAGCATCCATGCTCTTCATTTCATTTATCAATGCAAACAATCTAGTCAAATAAGCAAATAGAGATTCATCTTCACGCATACGAGCATAATCAAAATCACTTCTCAAACCATTAATTTGACTGACCTTACACGATCATCTCCTCTGTATTCATGCTGTAACAGATCCCAGGCTCCTTTTGCAGTTACTTCGTTAGAGATTCTAGGAAAGAGCTCATCTGAAACAGCTCCTTGGATAAGGTCCAGTGCTTTTGCATCTTGCTTCCGAAGCTCAGACAATGCTGACTTGTTCGATGTCTCCGTCTCCTTCATCTTGGCTTTTGGATATGGAGTTGGTACACTTTCTTCAACTAGCTTCCAAATCCCATATGATCTGAGGATTGACGTCATTCTAATCATCCATAGCTCATAGTTTTCTCCATTGAAAATTGGATTTCGTGACTCTCTTCCAACCGAACTAGCCATATAAGACTAAATTGATTTGGGTATGAAGATTTTGCGTCGAAATCTTCAAATACTCACAACGAAATTGACACCCAGATTCAAGATTGAACCTGGCTCAATGATACCATGTTGGAATATTAGGTACTTATTTGGATTTTATGGAGAAGAAGGAAGGAGATGAAAGAAGGAGCTGGAAAAATTGTTTTTGCAAAACTGTATAAGCTGCTGTGCTAATAGCTCAGCTATTTCTCTTCTTTTATCAAACGATTTACATCAAGAAAGGTACAAAATGATCTGCCAATATGTGTATGACACTTGGCTTTTTCCTATAGGTATTTCAGCCACAAAATCTCAACCATTCAAGTGATCTAAGCTATAACTTAGTCACCACCAGCTGTAATAGTAATAGTAAATCAGTAACAAACAATTTACATCAACCATAAACGCAAAATAATCTTCCAAGCAATCATATTTTCCTCAATTATATAGACTTTTTCTAGGTTAAAGATATTTTGTATTCATTAATATCTTCCTTTTTCTACTTTATAAGTAGTATTTGGAGCATCCTGAGCTTTGTCATACTCTATATATTTTCATCCTGAGACAGTGTTTCAAACGCCTGTAAACATACTTGGATTCCCCATACTTCAGGCAATTGATGAAGACTTCTTGTTACTCATACCCCTTGAGAAGATGATAACTGGCGCAACATATCCACTCAGCAACATTTAGATCATTATGATTACAGCCTTAAAGCAAACATTGCTCCACCGAACCCTTTCAAAAAGAGACAGTAATGCAATCCTGTGAAAACCTACTCAGATTCCTCATACTTTGGGTAATACCTGTCAGCTGCTCTTTCTTTATACCCTTTGCAAAGGTTAAAACTGGCTCAACAGATATTCTCAGCAACATTTAGATCATGATGATAACAACCATTAAGCAATATATCCACCACATCTTCAAGGTAATAAGAAGAAAGCGCATATAATCAATAACAGACAATTTACACATCAATAATAAACGCAAAATAATCTTCCAAGCAACCATATTTTCCTCTATTATATAGACTTTTTCTATGCTAAAGATATTTTGTCTTAATTGATATCTTCTTTTTTCTATTTTATAAGTAGTATTTGGAACATCATGGGCTTCTTTACACTCTGTACTTTTTCAACCTGAGACCGTGCTTCAAATGCTCAAAAACATACTTGGATTACCCATACTCCAGGCAATTGATAAGGAGTTCTTGTTCTTCATACCCTTGAAAAGGTGATAACTGGTGTAACATATTCACTCAGCAACATTTGGATCATCATGATTACAGTCTTTCAGCAATCATTGCTGCACCGAGCCCTTTCAAAAAAAGACAGTAATGCAACCCCGTGAAACCCACTTGGATTCCTCATACTTCGGGTAATACATGTTGACTCCTTTTTCTTTATACCCTTGTAAAAGTGAAAACTGGCCCAACGGATATTCTCAGCAACATTTGAATCATGATTATAATAGTCTTCAAACAATATATCTGCCACATCTTTAAGGGAATAAGAAAGCGTCAGATTAATCGTAAACAAACACGTTTTTTGTCGCGTGCTAGTGTCGACAGGATAAGAGCGGCAAACTAGTAAAGCTTCCAAGCACCCATATTTTCCTACTGATATAGGAGCTTTGTCTAGCGTTGTAGGGATAGTTATTGCGTGGGTGCTGGTGGTCTCGTATATAGTAGGGGGTAGAGTGTGATGTTATAGGAGCTTGTAGGGTATATGTGGGCCAGCACGGTCTGGGGGGCATTGCCTCATACAGAGTGGGTACTTTTCAACCGGTTGAACACAATTTTTCAGGGGGCACGGGGATCTACATGGACTTGTGGGGATCGGAGGAAAAAGTCCTAGACTCCAGCGCAGGTAGAGGAAGTATCTGTGGTTCTTCCTACCCCCTTGAAGAGGGAACTAGGTAGACAGATCCGCGCAAAACATACTCGATGAGGGGCGACAGGAGGGGAGCTAGGCCGTCACAAAAGGACGTGCCACAGAGTGGCCGTGCATGGAGTTGTCGGGCGAAAGGGGGAGGGTTCATTAATGAAACCCTGGTGGTCGACGGCGGCGGCGTGGAGGTGTCCGCGTGGAGTTAGAAAGAGAGGCTTGTGAGGAGGCCAGCCTGTGACGAGTGAGATAGGACGGCCGGGCAGGAGAACTGGTCCCAGTATAAAAAGCCCAACAGATAGGCGCAGCACATTGGGGGAGTCAGATGATAGGAGCCGTCCAAAGCCCCACATGCTTCAAGGTAAGAAGAAAACTTGATACGCATAACAACAAATTGACACACAATCCAATAACGCAATATCGGTCCAACAAACCATAGTTTGGCCTCTATTAGAGAGACTGGGTCCTAAGGTAAAGGGATTTTAATTCCGTCATGATATTGCTTGGGGTTTTGCGTTTATTTAGGACTTTTGAGTATATTGGTGGCATCCTAAGCTGCCGTATACGCGGACGTTTCATTTCAACTTGAAAACAATGCTTCGCAAAAGGTGCTGGGGCCCCGAAAATTTATACTGGATTCCTCCTGGAACTCCCAACAATTGATAGGGACTTCTTGTTCTTCATGGTACCCCTTGAGAAGGTAAAATGGGCGCAACGAGATCCCTTCAGGCACATTTGATCATCATTATTACAGGCCCTTCAAGCATAATTCCTCCATCCCCCCCCCTGACCGGCCTGTCAAAGAGACAGGAATGCAACCCCGTGGAAAACCTACTTTGGGTGATTTTTCCTCCGTGACTTTGGGTGGAATGACCTGAAAGGCTTTTCGACGGGGGCTTTCTTTACATATACCCTTTGGGTTCAAAAACACACAATTTAAAGGTTTGGCCTAACAGATCTTCTCACAACACATTTGAACCGTTGATTAAAACATTTAACAAAAGTCGTATATATCTGCCAACAATAGATCGTCGCTTCATGTATAAGAAGGAAGGCACAAAATAATCATAACGGCAAGGTTTACACTTCACAACATAAATGCAAATAACGGGGTTCTTCTCCAAGCAAACCATCTTTTCTATGTTAAAGGTTTTTGGTCCTTAAATTGATATCTTCTTTGTTTTCTTTTCCTACTTTATATGTGGAATAAATAAATTAAATGGAGGCTCCGGGCGTTCATTAGATCGTTGCATCATGACTCTGTACTTGGGTTCAAACATCGAGGACGAGGAGGAGAGGAGGGATGCTGTCTAGATGTCCCGAATAACATCTTGGCTTGTTCCCCATACTCATAAGGCATTGATGAGGAGTTCTTGGTTCTTTCATACCAAAGAGGAAGTAGGATACACCGGGGAAAAAAAAAAAAAAAAAAAAAAAAAAAAAAAAAAAAAAAAAAAAAAAAAAAAAAAAAAAAAAAAAAAAAAAAAAAAAAAAAAAAAAAAAAAAAAAAAAAAAAAAAAAAAAAAAAAAAAAAAAAAAAAAAAAAAAAAAAAAAAAAAAAAAAAAAAAAAAAAAAAAAAAAAAAAAAAAAAAAAAAAAAAAAAAAAAAAAAAAAAAAAAAAAAAAAAAAAAAAAAAAAAAAAAAAAAAAAAAAAAAAAAAAAAAAAAAAAAAAAAAAAAAAAAAAAAAAAAAAAAAAAAAAAAAAAAAAAAAAAAAAAAAAAAAAAAAAAAAAAAAAAAAAAAAAAAAAAAAAAAAAAAAAAAAAAAAAAAAAAAAAAAAAAAAAAAAAAAAAAAAAAAAATATTCAGTGTTCGTAGGAAAGTTCTGTTTTCTGAAATGGGTAGCTTGATGAAAAATAAAACACCAAATAAAACCAAACAACAACTCCTCTCTCTCGACCGCGATCATGTGTCGGGGGAGGAGGGTCGCTGTACAACTCTTTCAACCTTGCGCTTGTGCGATCTAAGTGGCTCGCACGGCGGCGTCGACCAGGGAGCCCCTCTAGCTGATCTGAGCGTCAGTGAGAGCAAATCCGCAGTGCGTCGAACCTCTCCACAGTCGCTAAAGGCGGAAAACGGTACCTAATAAAAGCAGGGAGCGGGGGATAACCACCCTAAGGACTCAATGCCCGTCTTCCCTCCTCTCTCTGCACAAAAACCTCACAAAAACTCCCATGACCTCCACACAATTGCATCCCCCCCGCTCAAATCCCATTTTCAAATTCCTCCCAACTTTACCCACCTTTTAAATACCTCCTCCTTACCTTTCCAATCTTTAATTTATTCCCTCCCTTTTTTTTTCTCTTCCCTGTCATTCTTTCCCCACGTCACTTTTACTTCTCCCTATCTTTTTATTCCATTTACCCATTCCCCCTCTCTCTTTTCACCCCCCTAAACCCTCCTTGTTTTTTCATTCCACTCTCCATCCCTCTTTTAATTTCCCATTTATTTTTTTTTTTCCAATTTCCTTCTCCCATCATCTTTCTTTCCTCTATATCCTTGCTCCTGCCCAACTCCCACGTTTCAAACTTCTATATCTTTTCCCCTGTCCTCTTTATAACTCCATGTTCCCCTTTTTTTTTTCTTTCTTTTTTATTTTCTTTTCTTGTTTTCTACCTTCATAACTCTCCTCTTTTTCTTTTCGTTTCCATCCGCCCTCTTACTCTCTTGCTCTTCTTTTTTTTTCCCATTTCCTTTTTTCACGCCCCCTATCCCCCACCATTTCCCTTTTCCCCCCTTTCTCACTCTCTTCATTTAATTAATAATTTCAATTCTTAATGTTTGAATTAACTAAGGGCATTTTAGTATTTTGAATGTTTCCACCATTCTCTGCATTTTGCTTTATATATATAATATAAATAGTATAGCGCCGGCTATACTTTGTAATATATTATATTCATGCCCGCTGGGCTATACTTTCAAAATATAATATATTCAAAGAGTATAGCCGCTCAACTATAGTGGGGTTTTCATTTTTTTTAAATTAATAGTATCGCCGCACGGCTATACACGTAATTTAAAAAATAAAAAGGCCGCTTAGCTCTTTTTTTTTTTTTTTTTTTTTGGGTGTGTTGTTGTAATAAATAGGAAGCCACACGTCGATACTGTGTAAATATAATATATTCAAATAGTATAGCCCGCGCGGCCATACTAGGTTATACTCTTTTAATATATTGGAATCCCTTTTTTTTTCCTAATTTTTTTCCCCGATTATTTTTGTTCACGATAAGATTAGTTTAGAGCATTATTCGAATCTTTATTGTCCCATTTTGATTTTTTACTTTTCTGGAGTTATTATCAATATAAAGAATTTAATCTTTTCCCATTTAATACTCGTATTATACACGTACATATGTATTTTTCAATAAAACTTCCGTCTTCAGTACACATCTTATAGAATAGGTAAAATACACATTTTTTTAAAAACAAACAACAATGCATGTATTGTACACTTACGTAAATATTTTTCATGTTTAATACACGTATTTTTTACAAAATTTTCAATAATACACACAAAATGCACATATAATACACACGTATTCTTAAATAGAAAGACAAGAAGAACATACACCTCATAATAAAAAAGACTAATATCTCAGAATCTACATCATTATATTAACTAAATTATCAGATTTTTAAACTTATAGAACACTTTCCGATAAATAAAATATGTACATGGTGAACTTGAAGGCTTGCAGCATAATTATGTGAAGTACATAGTTCACCTTTTAAACAATTCAAATTGCAAAATACATCGTTTTTACCAAAACGTGTTGAGAATAGTGTCAATTTTACCTACACGGTTTTCTCGTTTATGATAAGAACTTTTGCCCAGCTTAGACTGCAAAGAAACTCAAAGCCCTTATCAAATTCAATTTCCCTAGGATTCAAGAAAATCTCAATTTTTTCCGAACTCATTAATTCCCCCAGATTCGGACTATTCCTCAAACTGCCTTCCCATTTCAACATTTTAAGAGTTGGAGCAAAAATCTTCAACGATATTCTGTTTTACTGATAAATAGGTGTTCTCGTTCCAGTATATATCTATACTTTCAATTTTCTTTCCAGAGATGTTGAGCTAAAAAGGGTTATAATCATCAACCCAACCAACAAAAGATTCTAAAGAAGAACTTTCAACTGTGATGTTTTGTATTCCTCGAATCCAAATAAGCTGTAATTCCTTAAGGAATTTGCAGCACCTTGAGATCCATTTGAAAAACCTCTTATCTACTATTTTAACTTGTGACAGTTTCAAGCAATGGAGATTAGTTGAAGAGGATACAGACGGGGCTTCAAGAATAACCCCATTCAATCGCACTGACAAAGAGCGCAAAGACTGAGAAAGAAAGACACAGGATGGAAACGCAAGGGTCACATCATCAGAGAAATGAAGATCAAGCTCTTCAACATTAAACCTTACTGCAGTAAGAATCCAGCCGATCACTCAAAAATGATCATCAGAAAACTTTCTTACAGCTTCGGCTGTAAAGAAGCTCCATTTAATGCTGAAAACTTGCATCCCATGATCACCACGATAAAACAAGTACCTATCCAAAGAGCTCATCAATCTCACTCGCTTCTGGTTGGTTGTTCTATATGGTAGGAAACTTAAATCAAAACTCACAGAAGGAACTGATAGATGAAATAGCCTGCATCTTTTCAACACGGTGAGCAACTTCGTCTGGAAGATTGCTAAATCTGTCTATTGCATTTTGCATGGTAGCGCCTTGAGCTTCACAACTTGCAGATGCCTCTAACTTATGCATACGCCCCATGATTGATAGGGACTGTTGAAGGCAGTGGTGGAGCTACAAGAGATATCCTTCCCCTGCAACCAACTTTTGCAACCACTTCTCACTATAACCAGCTTATTATGTATATATATATACACATATACATACATACTCAAGAAATTAGAACGCCCAATTAGACTTTGCAGCCAAGCAAGATTCCAAATACCCAAATTAATATCTTACACTATCTCAATCAACTTAACTCATTTTCAAAAATGAATGTGTACAATTTGACAGCTATCGAACTTGAAATGAGAGATTTTGCAAAAATAGTATGTTATGTAAACAATCACTTACAGGTGGTGGGGGTGGCCAAAACAGTTTCTTCTTCAGCAATGGCGTCTCGCTTTTAAAGCTCGAAATGACCTCTGCTTGCCAACAGAAGAAATCTATCTAAGGGTAATCAAGCCTTATGTTGTATATAATATATAGTTGTCCGGGTGTTTGTACTAATTTACTAAAAATTTAAAACAAAAGGGAAATAAACTTGACCATCTGAAAAAATATAAGGAATTGGAAATTTTCAATATGTTGACTTCTTTCTTGAATTGATACTAGTTGATACATGAAAGATTTCATGAAAGATTTCTCTTCAGAACAAAAAAAAAAAAAAAAAAAAAAAAAAAAAATCTCTATATATAAATGTTAAGCACAAACAAAAAAAGGAATAACACAAAACAAGAAGTCGTATTGAACAGAAATCCCAATACTATATATAAATGTTAAGCAGAAACAAAAAAGGAAAAACACAAAACAAGAAGTGGGATTGAACAGAAATCTCAATACCAAATCCACTTGATTATTACAATATTTGACACATGAGCAAATTGAGTGACCAATTGCAAACTCATAGCTTTATGGTGAGGTTGGTGGCCCCAATTTTACTGCTCCAGAAAATATTGAAAATCAAATCTATAAACTAAAATGCAGTCAACTGAACACCACAGAGTAGCAGTAAACTAAACACGAGTTCAATGTAATCTAAATAGTGCCAACATGTATCAAACAATCCCATGACAAAGTTGTTACAGACTAAACAAAATCAGACCAACTTTTCTTCTCTGGCTTTCTGACTTGAGAGACAACTGTGGCATTAGAAATGACGTTGTCTTTTAACTCCCATACATCATCAGAGTACTTTTGTAAATGAAATATGACCATTTTCTCCAAATTTGGGGCATGCTCGAGGATATACCTAGCAAACTCAATTCCATTGAACCCATTGGAAAGCTCCAGGGTTGCCTCTTTGAGCTGATAAATGAAAGCAAGGCCTTGTAGTTTCCAATATTCCATATTGATCCCGGAACACTGAAAAGGCAACAAGGAAACATGGAAACAAGCAAATCATTTGGAAATTTCCCAAACAAATAGGAAGAAATTATTGAGAGGGGCAATTTGCAAGGGCTGTCAATGCATAAGTGTGTAAAAGTGGGAGATCCAGAGGCAACACAGTGAGATCACTTACTAAATAATTAGCCACTCCTGAGCTGAAGGTGCACTTTATGTGCAAAGTATTCAAATTCGGCATTCCTCCAAGAGGAAATACCACTGCTGGAATTAGGTCATCATTTAAGTTCCTAATATGCAGACTCAAGTTACAAATATCAACCAATGGTGCTGCTGGCATGCAACCTCCCCTCACCAAAGCTTGCATCCAATTTTTAAAAGGAAAAATATAAAATACGAGAAAGACAAGAACCCGTACACTAGAAGGGAAAAACTTGCAGGATACCTCATATATCTCAGTTTACTTTATTTGTCAAGTCTAGCACTACATTTGCAACTAAATTATGTAATTCTCAACTTATTGATAGATAACAAGCAGGATTCCAACAAAACTTGCGGGATAGATATGAACCTTCATTCCTTTTATTGTCAAAATTATCATAACACCATTATCATCACCATTACTGAGAGTGAGAACTCTCGACAAACAAGAAATTCACCGTTTAACATCCTTATAAAAGATTCTAGGAAATATATAATCTAAATAATATTGATTTGCAAAATGGCTCCGTAACTGAAAGAGAATTTGTTAAAGGGATAAATATCTTTACCTTCACAGTCCACTGATTTAGACTAACTTTACCCCTGCACATACTGCAAACAACTTTAAATATATTATCACAGTCATTTAGCTCAGACTCCATAAAGATCGCTGCTTTTTCCAAACTAATTAATTTTCCCAGATGTTGACTACTCATAAAGTTGCCTTCCCACTTCAAACTTCTGAGATTTGGAGCAAACATATTAAAAGATTTTGTGTTTGATGACGAAGAAGCTTTTCTCCAAACTATATGGATATCTTTCAGTTTCTCACCAAAGATGTTGAGATGGAAGAGGTTACTACTCCAAACCTTAAATGATTCCAACGACGCACTTTCAATGGTGATATTTGGCATGCCTCTAGTCCTAATAAGTTGTAATTGCTTAATGCATTTGCAGGAAAATGAAATCCATTTGAAAAACCTCTCATCTTCTATTTTAATTTCAACTTCAAGTAATGAAGATTACTGGAAAAAGATAAGGAGGGCACTTGAAAAATAATCTCAGAGTGCACAGAGAGACACCTCAGAGATTGAGAAAGAAAGATGCAAGATGGCAACTCAAACACCGTGTTAGTTCTTACGGAGAGAGCAAGGTGAAGCACTTCAACATTGCACCTTACTGCATTATCAATCCATGTGATTATTTTAATATTCTCATCAGCAATCCCCCAACATAAACTCCAATTAATGCAAAAGCGCTGCATCCTATTATCACCACGACTAAATAAGTACCTATCCAAAGAATTCAACAAGTCTATTTGCTGCTCCTTATTTTCCACAAAGTAAGTTTCACCAAAAACCACCGATGGCATTGATAGATAAAATCGTCTGCATGTCTTGGACACAGTGCCCACTCTAGTAAGGTTTGTAAAAGTCAGAAAGGAAAAGATATGATGAGCAATTTCGTTTGGAAGATTACTAAATCTGTCTATTAGATGAGCTTGATGACTTGGAGCTGCTCGGAATTTATACTTTTTCCCCATGAGACTGTGCTCCTATTTTGTTAATGTAATAGTATCCATAGAATTGTTGGAAGCGGCAGTGGAGCTACAAGCATTATCGTTCTCCTGCAACATTGAAAGAACCAATATATTTCACCATTTTACCATACTATCACAATGAGAGTTCTATAGCTGCCCAAATTAAATAGTAATATCTCATTTATACTAATTTAGATAAAGAAAAGGAAAGGGTTCTGCATCTGAGTCTAAGACTGAAAGGACGAATAAAAAATTTGCCAGAGCCTCCAGAGGTTGGGAAAGTTTGTGTCACCTATATCAAGAGAAAGGCATGTAACTATAATCATTGAATTAATCGCAGTTGTAGAACAAACAAGATAACAAAAATTTGTTGCCACATGGACAGCAACTAAATTAAAAAAACCAATGCCTCTTTGTTACTTGGTTACCAAACAGAGAAGAAACCCAGAAAACGCCATCGACGGTCTCATTAAAGACTTAAATGAATTCACATTATGTAAATGGGATTTTTGTTTTAATTTCATGGGTTTTTTTTCTCTTCAAAGATTTCAACTTTCCACGACAACAAGACAGAAAATAGGGGTAACAAATCAAATATTGCAAGGAAAAATAGAAAAGAAAGGAAGTTGGAGCGAAAAAATAAAAAACCAACCTGGTGAACTCTGAAATGGTGCGTCGGTGCTCAAAGTTTTGATTTTTATCCTTCACTTTCTAAAATTTTCTCGGCTACGTGTAAGCCCAAGAACGATGAAGAAGCTTCGAATGGGAGAGGAAGTGCACCCTATGACCACTCAGCTCCGCCCTGAAATTTTAGCGCGAAAACCAAGCACGACCCTTTTAACTTCCTAGGTCCTCCGATCCATTTGCTCTTGTTAGGTTGGGCTCCCCTTTGGGCCCTTGTATTTGGGCTTTATGGAAGAAAGAAAAAAAAGGAAAATAATATTAGCAATATAGAAACTTTAGTTTTGCTGTTTTTTAATTTTTTTAATTTTGTTTTTAAATTCGACCCTCGTGTGTTTTAATGTTGTGAACTTGTGATTGAAGATTTATAATCGTATTATATGGGTGGACCTAAGATTACAAACCATTGAACAGTTCCAAAGACACATAAGAAACCAATCTTCCCATATGTTTGAGGATAGTTTGGAACTAAACTACTTTTTTTTTATATATAGAAATTCTATGATTGCATTTGTAATTCAGTCAAAAAAACCACCACTCACAAAGGGCAATACAAACTAGCCACAAACGATCATTACAATAACGGATAAATCTAACATCAAAATTAAAATAATATGGTGGGCCTCCACTAACGATAACTCAAGTCCACATTTAAACAGTCCCAAAGTTTTTATGCTATATATATGAGTGTGATGATGATTCAAAAACTGATTGCAAAATAACATTAAGACCAAATCACGTTACCTTAATCACCTTCAACCATTTTATTTTATTCAACTTGTAAGACTGAAGAATGCTACGTAATGAAATTACTTGTAAGGCCGAGACTTTTTTCTTTCTTCAACAAATGCAAGAGAAATTTTGAAAAATATCGCTTCAAAATTGATAAATACTTGGTTTTTTCGCCCCCTAAATTTCTTGAAATTTATTGATAAGATGAAACTGAAAGATAAATGGTAATTTGTACTTAGTGATGAATAAAACATTAACTAAGATCTAGGGATCTAGGGAGTTCTTTAAATTTAAATTTAAGAAATTGCAAATTCTCAGTCCTAGATTACTGGGGGAGAAGGTGGGGTAAATTGACTTTTTTTAAATATTAAAAGAAAAACTTTTAGTAACACATTTATGAATAGTTAGTAAATGTTATAGGACTCAAACCTAAGATCTAGGAAGAGCAATTGCTCCAAACCACTACACTGTTATTTTTGTACTTGTTATTACTCCTTATTTTGATTGGATATAGACATAATGAGATGGTTTCCCATCAATTTCCTTCAATTGAAGACAAAGACTTAAGTATATTGCCATCATATTGAAGGTTTAAACTGAATCAGCAACGAAGTTGCTCAGACGTGAAGCCTCTCTTTACTTCTTTATACAAATTATTGAATTTATATATTAAATTATCTCAAACTTCCAAGTATTGTATTATATATGACGAATCTTGAAGATTAAAACCTTTTCACATTGATATTTAATCCCTATTTTCTATCTATAAGGACAAATACTATCCGTTTTCCAAATGCCATGTTACGTTTCGTCGCCAATAAAAGCTTTGGCCGACGACATTCTGATTTTGGCGACAAAATGTTTTGTCTCTGAAAATGGTTTGCCTTGTAGTGATCGGGGGTGACCTGTCGGACTCGGACTGCTTCCCATCAATTTCCTTCCTTTGAAGACAAAGACTATATGAGTATGTTGAATACCATCACGTTGAACATTTAAATGGAATCAGCAACGAAGTTGCGATGACTTTGCATTGATGGTGAAGCCTCACCACTTAACTGTTGTTTCCTAACAAATTATTAAATTATCTCAAATTGATATATTCAATCCTTATTTTCTTTCTATTACCAAATTGGACACTTTTACATCTTCTCTCTCACTAAGAATATTTCAAAATGGGGCCTGATAAAATAAAGATGCCTGACCTATAAAAAAATACAGATGAGTTTCCATAACTTTTCTTCATCGTTGACTTGAATCTGTCGCTAGGAGTTTGCATATTACCCCCCAAAACCCAAAACAGGACTTTATCTCATTGCTCCATACTTTTCAACGCGCTAGAGTGATTGTATCTTACAATTGTAGTACGTAAGCATTGCCTTAGACTTTCATTTTTCTTCCATATATTATTTTTCTTGCACATCTGTTTTCTGCACTTATTTAATTTCCTTGTTGATCTTTTAACATTCTTCTTCAAGCTCTTGAGCCGAGAAAATTAACAATGGCAGAAGATAGAAATGCAATTGGGATCGATCTGGGGACAACTCATTCGTGTGTAGCGGTATGGCAGGCTGATCATGTAGAAATCCTGGTGAACGGTCAGGGTAACAGGACAACTCGATCTTATGTTACATTCACGGATACTAACAGGTTGGTAGGTGATGAAGCCTTTAACCAAGCCGTCAGATTCCCCGCCAACTCAGTCTTTGGTACGAATAAATGATGACTCAATCTCAATTCTTTTTTTTTTTTTTTTTTTTTTTTTTTTTGTCTCTATATATTTGATTCAAATTTTTCTTAGAGTAATTCGGTATAAATTTTAAAACTAAGACATTTAGCATAAATATCTAAACTGGGAATAATTTACAGATGCAAAGCGGTTAATTGGTAGGAGATTCAGTGAGGATTCTGTTCGAAGTGATATCAAGTGCTGGCCATTCAAGGTCATTGAAGGTCCGGAGGACAAGCCCATGATCGTGATTAGACACCGGGGCGAAGAGAAGCGGTTTGCTGCTGAGGATATCTCATCCATGGTTCTGGCAAAGATGCGGGAGATTGCTGAGAACTTCCTGTGCTCAAATATTAGTGTGATAAATGCAGTTATCACGGTCCCCTCTTACTTCAACGACGCTCAGCGCCAGGCTACAATAAAGGCTGGTGAATTAGCCGGCTTGAATGTGCTGCGCATTCTCAACGAACCGACAGCTGCAGCTATT